TTAATCATGTTTTCAATTTCGTTAGCTGTTGTTGGGTTATTCAAAATAGTTGTATCTTCTTGATTGAGCTTTGGTAGTTCACATGTTTCTAGAAATCTGTCCATTTCCTCTGTGTTTTCACTCTGAGTAGAGATTTTCAGAGTAGGTATTCATGATCTTTTGAATTTCCATAGGATCTATAGTAATTTCTCTCTTTTCAGTCCTTATTGCATGAATTTGAGTTTTTTTATTTCTTTTTTATGATAAGATTAGCTAGAGGTTTGTCAGTTTTGTGTGCTCTCTCAAAAAACCAGCTGTTTGATTCATTAATTCTTTGTAATTTTTTAATCTCATTGCATTAATTTTCTGCTCTAATCTTTACAATTTCCTCTCTTCTGTGAGTTTTGGGTTTGACTTGCTCTTTGTTTTCTAGAAGCTTGAGATGTAGCATTAGGTTGTTTACTTGTGCTCATTCTGTTTTCTTGATGTGACAACTTAGTGCTATATACTTTCTTCTTAGGACCACTTTCATTGTGTCCTACAAGTTATGGTATGTTGTATCCACATTTTCATTGAATTGTTGTTATTGCTTTATTTCTTCCTTAATTTCACCTGTAGCCCACTGGTTGTTCAGAGGTTGTTATTTAATTTCCATGTATTTATGCAGGTTTTGTAATTTCTTTTGCCATTAATTTTCAATTTCAGTGTGCTATTGTCAGATATTATGCATGGAATAATTTCAGTCCCTTTGCATTTACTTAACAATGTTTTATGGGTTAATATTTGGTCTATTTTGGAGAATGTCCGATGTACAACTGAGAAGAATATATATTCTGATGTGGTTGGGTGGAACACTCTGTAAACATTTATTAAATCCATGTGCTCACAGGTATGATTCAGTTCTATTATTTCCTGACTTTTTGTCTAGTTGATCTATTTCTTTATGACAGTGCCATATTAAGGTCTCCTACTACAATTGTGTTCTTGTGTATTTAGTTTTTGATGTCTATTAGTATTTGTCTTATATAGCTGAGTGCTTCTGTATTTGGTACATATATATTTATAATTGTTAGTTCTTCCTGATGTTTTCTAGTAAAATTTTTCTTCATTGCTTTCAATCATTTTAGGTTTGAAGTTCATATTGTCTGCAAACAGAATAGCTACCCTTGCTTTTTTCTGGGTTCCTGTTGCATGGAATACTGTTTTCTATCCTTTGACTTTTAATCTATGAGTTTCCTTTAGAGTTGGATGTGTTTCTTGTATACAGCATATTGTGGAATCCTGTTTCTTGATCCATTCGGTCAATCCAAATCTTTGATAGGTGAATCGAGGCCATTTACATTTATGGATATAACTGTTATGTACTGGCTCAAGTTTGTCATATTATTTTACTGTTGTTTGTTTTTGGCTTTCCCCCTTGTTTAATTGCTTGCCATGCCTGGTGGTTTGTTTCTGCTGTTGTTCTGGTCATTTTTATCTATATCTAATGTCTTTCAATTCTCTTTCTAGGATTGGCTTGGTGGGCATGAATTTCTTCAGTTGTTCTTTGTCGTGGAGGTTTCTTGTTTCTCCATTAAATTTGAAAGACAGTTTTGCTAAGTACATCAGTCTGGGTTGAAAGCTGTTTTCTTTCAGGGTTTGGAATACCTCACTTCAAGCTTGTCTTAATGTGAGAGTTTGTGTTGAAAAGTCTGCCATGATTCTGATGGGCTTTCCTTAATAGGTGAGTTGTGTCTTTTCTCTAAAAGCTTTTAGTATTCTGTTTTTATGTGGTATGTGGTGGATCCTAATTATTATATGTCTGGTGTAGATTTATGTTGGTTGTGACTGGCCTCACTTAACTGCATATCAGATTTTTCCCATGTTTGGAAAATTTTCTGCTATTACTTCTGTGAATAGTTTACCTATGTCATTTGCGTTGACTCCTCCATCTTCACTGATGCCTATTAGTAATATATTGTATCTCTTGGCATCATCTTGAATCTGCTGGATTGTCATTTCATGCTGAGTTGTTGTTTTTAAAAGTTCTACTTGCTAATTGTGATGTTGTCCTCAGTGTTCAAAATTCTGTGTTCAGGTTTATTTAAATGATTTTGCCAACTTTCAATAGAATTTTTTGTTTCTTGGATGTCTCTTTGAGTTTGTGTCATGGATTATGCTTGTTTTCTATATTGTTCATTCAAGGTTTCAATCAATTTTCCATGTTGCTGTATTTTTTTAAAAATCTATTTCTTCTCTGGCTATGCAGAGCAGCTCCTTTACTAAGGTTGTTATTTCTGTGTTTATATAGGAAACTGTTTCTAATTTGATTTCCTCTATAGCTTCATGAATTTGTTTCTTTATTTCACTTGCTATCTTTTCAGAGATTTCTGGTGTATGACTTTTTTTTTTTTTTTTTGTCTTTTTCGTTTTTATCGGTACCAGGGATCGAACTCACAACTGCCTGCTTGCAAGGCAGGTGCTTATGCTGCTGAGCTAAATCCCCAGCCCCTGGTGTATGACTTTTAAAGTCCTCTATTTCAATGTTGTCTGTACTTGCTCCTGATGGAATGTATGTTTGAGATTGCATTTTGCTTTTTCATTTTGTTGTTTTCACCTTTTGGGCTAATAGTTGGCCTTACAATCCCAATAGTCTCAACTGTTGGTAGTGTGTATCTTGGGGTCCTACTCTGTGGTTGATGTTTGTCTCATTGCTGGGTACCACAATGTAGAGGAGGGACAGTCACCAGTATTTCTCCTACAGGGCCTGTTGGGTGAGTCCTATATTCTTCCTGGGCTGACTAGCCTAGGAGTATTGATGTAAGTCAACCCTTAATTCCTGTTGTTACTATGTCTTCAGGTTATTCCAAGTCACCAGATCTCCTTGTCTATATAACATGTTTGTCAGCTGAGGCCCTGCTGTGTCAGTGGGTGTCTCGTAAACCCCTTTAATTTTCTCCAAGTTGGGGGAGGCCTAGTTGGCACACTCCTCAACCTGCCTGATGTTCTCTGTCTGGAGGTGGGAATCACCCACACTCTTGCTAAGTTCTCGAAGGTCTTAGAGTTGGAGGGAGTTTCATTACTGCTCCTGTTTACCCACTGATGACCTCTGTTTTAGTGGCAAACTCACCACACTATGGAGGTCTTCTCTTTGGGTGAGGGGTTACTGAGTCTTCCATAGACCCAGCATGGTTAATTCACTGCAGTCCAAGGATCTGGGGGAAGGACTGGAAGTTGAACATCAGCAACAGTATTAAGTCCAGGAGATGGGGGGGGGGGGCCCTGAGGACAGCATTCGGCGGCGGTCTGCGTGGCGGTAAGCCGGCTGGGCTGGGCTAAGCCAAAAGGTGGACTGAGGGCAGCGGTCTGCACGGTGGCCTGCAGAACCTGTTTTTAACTGCTATGCTCTGCTACCACTTAAATATTGTACATAGAATTTTACTTTTTAGTCTTGGCTAGATTCAGGGTCATTGGGATTCTTTATGGGATTGTCTTTTAGCTCAGTTTTTTAGAGTTGTCTGCTTAGGCAGGTTTTCCTTGTGAGGTGACAGTATAACTGATGTGAATCCTAGAATGATATATTCATAATATAGTAACCCCAGTGAAAAGAAAACAATATTCTTTTTATAATAACTAGCAAATGTTAGCATTACCTGAGCTTCATGGCATATGTCTGTTGTCCTTGCTACACTGTAGACTGAATCAGGTGAATCACTTGGGCTCAAGGGTGCAAGACCAGCCTATGCCATGTAGCTAGGCCTATCTCAAAACAAAAACAGAACAAAAAACAAGCCTGGAGATAGTGGCACATGTCTGTAATCTCAGTATTCAGGAGGCTGAGGCAGGAAGACAGTGATAAGTTTCTAGGCTATGTAGTGACTTGAAGGCTAGCCTGGACTATGTAGTGAGATGCTGTCTCAAATGAATAAACACCCTCCCCATCAAACATTCCCCCAAAACAAAACAAAACAAAACAAAACCACACAAATACTCAAACCAATCAAACCAAACCAACAAAAAACCTCAAGTCCTAGAATAGAATCTCATTGAGTAGAGTCGTATTCTCATTATTTTCTTTTCCTCCTGTTTTTTTTTAATTTTGAAGGCAGTAGAAATACAACAGAATAAGATAGAACAAAGCCAGTTGAGACAATGCAATGAAATTGGTACAGAACTTCACAGCAGTGAAGGGGATAACAGTTAATAGGTACCATAGTAGTTGGTCTAGCCAGTTAGATATAGCAAAGTCAAATCAAAGACAGAGTGTTATAAAACCAATCAAAAGAGAATATTGAATAGAGTAAAACAGTTAATCATAATGAAACAAAATGGTAAAAGCAACATTTTCTTTCAAACAGAAGATAGGAGGAGATGCCCCATATTTGCTATATTGCACACAGTCATCCTCCCAAGAGATGTTCAGACCTCTGTCCCCAGTTGCTATGGGGGGCTGGGGTAGGTTGGGGTGTTTGATTCACAGCTTGTACACTGGTAGGCTCGTAGGAGACGCTGGCTGGGTCTCTTCCTGGCTCGCACTAGAGAGAGGCACTTACCAAGAGGGTGGGTGAATTGCTACTTTATGCAGCCTGGGTTCCACCATGGCCGTGACTGGATGGCTGGGGCCACTGCCCCCATATTCTCATTATTGAACCAGTCTTTGTTCCTGAGGGTGAGATGGAATGAAATGGAACATTCTTTAGTGCCCAGTCTGGAGTGTGTGTGTACCCCTGGATCTGAGATGATGGCAGAGAACCCTTATCTATGGCAGGCACCTTAGGATGCTATTACTAAGAGAATAGGAATGGCCCAGGCAAAAACAACTATGTCCACCACACTTAGGATATTAGGATAATAGCTGTGCACTCTGACGTGTACCAGTAGTTCAACTACTTGGGAAGCTGAGACAGGAAGATTACCTGTACTACACTGCAAGACTGTCTCTCTCTCTTTTCTTTTTTTTATATATTTAGGACCATGTTTATGTTATCATGTCCTTCTGCTTAGTTGTTATTTTAGCCTTAACATGTCAAATATTTTCACAGAATTATGATGAATTATGATAAGTTGAAATCACGTCTTGGTGAAATTCATGATAGCAAAATGCGACTAGAGCAGGATTTGAAGAAACAAGCTTTGGACAACCGAGAAATAGATAAAAAAATGAATAGTATCAAACCTGATTTGATCCAACTGCGCAAGATCCGAGATCAGCATCTTGTGTAAGTAATGTGGGCCCATATGGGAGGGAGACTCCAGCATTTGAGTACTGCTGGACTAGAGATGTTAGCAATGGAAGAAAAGATTTGTAACTGAGAACTGGACAGTGAGACTGTTAAGAATTTAGAGATTCAGCCCTGTCAGTGGTGGGGCAGGCCAGATTGTAACATGACTGTCCTTCATATGGATGTTTTAGGAACCTTAAATGGTGGTTGTTGCCTTGGAGATTAAGTAGTCCAGATTAGCCAGGCATGGCAGTGCACCCCTATAATGCCAGCACTGAGGAGGCTGAAGCAAAAGGATCACTGCTAGTTGGGGCCAGGCTGGACTACACAGTGAGTTCAAGACCAGCCTGAACTGCATAGTGAGATGCTGTCTCAAAATAAATAAATAAATAAAGACTTGATTGTAGCTCAGTGTAAAGACTGGGTTTAATCCCTAGAATTACATAGCAACAACAACAAAAAGATTGTGGGTATAACTCAATAATAGAGTGCCTGTTTAGTATATGCTAGGCCCTGGGTTCAATCCCCAGTACAGCATCAGCAACAAAGTTAAGCAAGAATGCATAGCATATTGAAGAGCTTTGTAAATAAAGGGAGGAGATAGAAAAAGCAGGGATACTTCTGTAGTTGTGGTCACATCATGAAGCTGAAGAAAAATCCAAGAAGGCTATGCCATAAACTAGTGGAATGAATGGATGCACTTCTTTGTCCTAAAAAACAATAAAGATATCAGGAGATATGATATCCCAGTGCCACAATTAAGTGAGGTATCAGTCCTTTCAGGCTACTACAAAATACTAGAAACTAGTATCATATAAATTTCTCACAGTTTTGGAGTCTGGGAAGACTTAGATCAGGGTATCAACAGATGCAGTGTCTGGTGAGAACTGTATCCAATAATCATTTTTGGGACAAAAACAATTACAACTACACTGTAGTGAATAATTTTTAATAGCATCCTTTTCAAGAGATTTTTTTCTGTTTGCTATTGTGGCCAAGAAAAGCCCTGGAAATACTGTGAATATTGATCTAAGTGTGCTAACATGGATTTATACGTACATAAAAATTCAACAACCTGCATACATATACTAACATACTTGATATAACTCAAAAAAGGCATTAAATTTTTTTTAGGTATAAAAATTCTTGATATTTTTCAAAAAAGAAATTTGGTTGTTTACATACAGTTTTAGTCATCATGAGTTAAGGTTGTCATGAGTACCATTTACTTGTCTTGGTATTTATGAAAAAAAAAATGACTTGGCATCACAGTATAGGTGTGCTAATGAGAAATACATGCTAGGGAAGTTTGCAGCTCAAGGAGTTGAGTGAAGGTTGTGTGTTTCCAGCAACTTTACTGATACATAATTGACATCTATACAGCTCACTCATTTCAGGAGTATAATCCAAAGCCTGATGTGATGGCACATGCCTGCAGTACCAGCTGTTTAGGTGGCTCAGATGGGAGGATCACTTGGATCCACAAGTTTGAGACCAGGCTAGGCAACATAGTAAGACCACACCTCAAATTTTAAAAAGTGTATAATCCCTTGTTTTTAGTATATTTACAGATATTTGGAATCCTCACATATTTTGGGACATTTTCCTCATCATAAAAAAGAAATCTTGGAAGCTAGGTATGGTGTCACATGCCTAGAATCTCGGTACTCTGAAGGCTAACGCAGAAGGAGCACAGTTCCAGTCCAGCATGGGCACCTTAGTGACACAGCAGGATCCTATCTGAAAATAAAACATTAAAAAAAGAATGCCCAGCACCACACACACACACAGATCTTATTCCTTTCACCTATTAATTATCCTTATCCCCTATATCACCTTATCTCCCCAATCCTGAACAACCACTATTCTTTGCGTGTTATTGTATCTAACTATGACATGTCATGTAAGTGGAAACATACCATGTAATCTTTTACGACTGGCTTCTTTCACTTAGTGCGATGTTTCCAGGTTTCATACATATTGTGGCACGTTTCAGTACTTCATTTTTATGGCCATATAGTTTTCCTTTTGTATGTATTAACCTCATTTAATTTAACTGGCATTAATTGTTGCACATTTAGGCTGTTCTTACCTTTTGACTCTTGTCATTAATGCAGCTCTAGACATTCATGTACATGTATTGTGAACAGACGTTGAATATATACAAGGAGTGGAATTCCTAAATTATATTGTAATTCTATATTTAACTGTTATGAAAAGCGATTGAACTCAAAACAGCAGCTGTTACAGTCTAGTTTTCTTGGACTAAGTAAATCACATCTTAATATATTTATGATAACTCTGGTTTTTTTTTTTTTCTGGTGCTAGAGCTTAAACCCAGTTCCTCATTCGTGTTAGGCAGGTATCTTTTAATACTGAGCTCTAACGCCAGCACTAATAACTCTAAATAGTTATAAGTGTTTTTTCTCTTCAAAGCAATACATATAGTATCTTACTTTATTCTGATTTGGGGAATATGAAATTTTGTGTATAAAACTGATAAAAGACAAGTTTGTATTCATTTTAAATTAAAATTCGTTCATTCCAAGCACCCATTTGCCTCGTTATACAGAAAATGTTTATGCATTTTTCTTTTGAGATCCTCCTGCCTGAACCTCTTGAGTAGCTAGGATTATAGTTGTGTGCACCACTACACCTGGCTTTGTATGGAAAATGTTTAATCTCATTTTTTATTGGGCCTTTTCCCATTTCCTGTGTACACACACACACACACACACACACACACACACACACACACAGAGTCACAGTTGGATCCAGTTAGAACTGTTTTCCTGAAGTAGCACCAGGAAGTAAAGGACAAAGCTCCTGACCATAATTGTTATTACACCCTTCCTCTGCTCCTAGTCCTTGGGCTCTGCTGTTTGGTTAAATATCCTTTATAGTAATCTCCTAATTGACAGCCAACAGATTGCTTTTCTTTTGTACTGGGTACTGAGCCCAAGGCCTGTGCACTGAGGTGCTAAGGTATATCTCCAACCTTTTTTATTTTTAGACAGACAGGGTATTGCTGTTTCCAATGCTGGGCTTGAAGTTGGAGTCCTCCTGTTTTAGCCTTCAAGAATGCTGGGATTACAGGTGTATATACCATGCCTGGCCAGATTCTGCATCTTCAAACTCTCTTCTTGTGTTGAAGGTGTCCTGTAGTTAAGCCACTCCATTTCATATATTAGCTGTGCTCTAGAGGAAGCCTACACTCCCCTAGGAGTACTGCTTTAGCTTTAAGCTATTTTTTCGGTCCTTTCAGGGACTTCTCATCTTACTCTTCTAGTTTAGAGTAAAACACAAGCCCTTTTCCTCTTGAAGTATGACAGATTATAAGGCAAATTTGGTCTTTAGGGAGGACAGTATATATACTTTTTCTCCTCAATTGCTGGGGCAGGGGCAAAGAAAGGGTATGATAATTAGCTATCTTCTCTCTCTCTCTTTTTTTTGCCATTGTGAAACAGGGTCTCAGTAGGCAGTTTGGACTGGCCTTGCACTCACTTTGTAGCCTAGTCTGACTTCAAACTCAGTAGTTATCCTTCTTCCTCTGCCCTCCAAGTGCTGGGATTATAGGAGTACGCCACCATGCTTGCTTTTTTCTCTCTTTTTAAAGATAATGTTAATATTGAACGTAACCTGCCAGTAAATAATTAATTAATTGAATGTCCTGTGCTTGCGCTATCTTAAACACTGGGAATATAGCCACGAACAGGACAGGATCTCCCTCCCCCCTTTTAAAAGCAATTTACATTATAAGGGAGATAAACATAAATAGGAAATAAAAAATAATAAGTTTCAGCCAGCTATGAATAGGATAAAGTAAGGTCAGTTATAGGGAGAGGGGATTGCCTTAGGACTGTTAGGGTAGACACTGTGAGGAGGTATTCATGATGCAGTCTGAATGCTAAGGAGTCTTTGCTGGGGATGAATGACTTTTTATACTCTACTCCACTTTCAGACCATTGGCCATCAGAAAGGAACTAAATGTGATGGCTTACATCTTTTGATAGCTAAATGTTGGTATTTTAAGATGACTATGGTTTGTTTGATGAGGAAATAAATTTATATCACTTACTCAGATTCCTGCCTGAATTTCTTGTGGTTTACTTAGGGCCAAAAATAGACCTTGAAATTTCCAGATAGAATTTGAAACTTAATTCAGTGGGCCACACAGGGAGGGAATCTTCTAGCTTAGTGGCAATTGGGATGCTCACCAATGATAAGTTTCTAAATGATGATTTCAGAAACAAATGTCCTATGTGAGCGCAAGTGTATGTATATTTGGTGGCATAAGCTTTTAGAAAAGGAAAGTGAAAAGTGAGAGATAGGCCTAATTTCAAGTAGTTTTCTGTATTTATGCTTGTTGCAAAAAAAGATGAGTTCATTATATATTAGGCTTTCTTTTTCCTTTTTAAAAATTAGTACATGTTTGTAATACATTGTCATCCCGTTATTAGTTGGAAGAAAAGTAATAGAGATAACTGGGTATGGTGGCACATACTTGTAATCCTAGTACTTGGGAGGCTGAGGCAGGAATACATAGAAAGTGAGGTCAAGGCCAGCCTGACATACTTAGCAAGACCAAAACAGCTGGGTGTAGTGGTGCCTGGCTGTGATCCCAGCAGTTGGGAAGGCTGAGGTGGGAGGGTTACTGTTAGGGCTACATAAGCGAGTTCAAGGCCAGCCTGCACTATCTAGTAAAGCTCTGCCTCAAAAGAACAAAACAAAAAACAAAAAAATGCCCCACCCCAAAAAACCCAAAACTGAAACAAAAGATGAAGACAGAAAGAGAGGTAGGTATAGGGAAATTTAAGGAACCCTCTGGCCACTCCTGGCAAGACTAGAGATACAAGTTGTTCCTGATCTCTCTTGAAGTTTGGTCAGATTGGACATAACTACTTTGGGCACTTTATTTAAGACTCTGACACTGGTGTCTTCCTTCTGGCAGATGGCTCAATCACAAGGGAGTGAGACAGAAGCGCCTAAATGCATGGCTTGGAATCAAGAATGAGGATGCTGATGAGTAAGTTCTCTTTGAGCCTTTGTGTCAGGGACTTTGTTACCAGTGTGAGACGTGGACTCCATACAGGCTGAGTTGGTTCTCACTGTCATTTGATGATACTAAATCAAGAAGTTTGCAACTCTTGAAGTGCGTCACCTTATAGGCATCTGAATTCAGAAACCTGCCCAGCCACTGGGTGCATCCATGCTGCTCTTCGGATATTCATGTTTCAGCTTACTGGTTGAAACAGGAGTTCTGTGCTTTGTGTACTCCTGCAGATAATGAGGTTGTTTAAAAAAACGAAACAAAACACTGACCACAATATTGCCTTGTTATTTTATGGTTAAAGATTTAGAAGATCATTTTATTCATGAATTAGCCTTTAGGTACTACAAGTGTTTTATTCATGAATTTACCTTTAAATAGAAATTGTTATTAAAAACATTATTTTTAATATTTACCTTTTAGGGCCTATTTTATCAGTGAAGAAGATGAAAACCTGCCACATTATGATGAGAAAACCTGGTTTGTTGAGGACATCAATCGTGTGCAAGCAGAGGACTTGCTTTACGGAAAACCTGATGGAGCGTTCTTAATTCGGGAGAGCAGCAAGAAAGGATGCTATGCCTGTTCTGTGGTGTAAGTCTTTTTTGGGAAAAATGAATTAAGAAAAATGAAACTTAAAATTATCTTAGGGATTTAAATTTACATGTTAAACAAATCTCTTGGGGGCTGGGGCAGTAGGATCTTGAGTTTGGGCCAGTCTGGGCTATATAGTGAGACTCTATCTGAGAGACAGAGAAAGAAAGAAGTGGGGGCGGGAGGAGAGAGGAGAATGGAGTGAAATTGTATGATAACCATTAGCCATGCCATGGTCAGATTTTGCTTGAGAGTGGTATGTATTCCTTGAGAAGGCAGAGATGCCATTGACAGAGTTCATACTTAGAAAGGAAATCATGATGATCCTGAGGGAGCTTTGGTGCCAGACACAGTGTGCTCAGACCTTGACTCTACCATTTCTTTGCCTAGTTTCTTAATCTGCATAAGAAGGATGCTAATAAAAATACCTGTTTTGGGGGTTTTGTGAGGATTAAGTAACTTAATATATGTAATGTAATATACTTTGGACATTGAAACTGAGGATAGAGGCAAAGAGGTTGGCATCACACAGATTTCCAACTGTTTGCCACTCTGCAGTGACCTCGAAGTATACTTTGGATGGTTGTTGAAGTAGAGATCTGAATAAGTTCAGTTTTTCATTAGAATCTTGTAGCAAATTTAAAACAATCTTATTGAGGTCTGATTAAAAAAAGGTAAATGTTTAAAATTTTTAATATTATTACAGTAAAAGACATATTGCCATTAAGCCTTCTTGAAATACTTCTTTGAATACACTTATTTCATCGTTCTTGCCACTTTCCTAAGCAGATTTGGAAGTCCTTTTTTCTGAGTGTTTTTAGTTGTGCTGTTGTTGCTGCTTTGATGTTCTCAATCAATTCAAAAACTTTAGCCTTTCATGGTCAGTTTGATTTGGGGGGAAGATCCAGAAGTGGCACAATGCCAGATCCAGTAAATAAGGTGGACAAAGATGCACCATAATGTTTTTATTGGACAGAAATTGCTGTATCAGAAGCTGTATCTGATAAAGGAGTGTTATCATGATGGAGCATTCCATTTCTCAGTCTATTTTCTATTTACATCATTTCTTATACTATTCTGAGTTCATTGTGGTGTTTGTTTGTTCACTGTGGATACAAACTTGCATAATTCCATAAAGGTAAATTGATGCACTTTTTTTTTTTACATGAGAAGAAAGAGTAGTTTCTTGTGAGAACTCTATAAAAGTTTGGTCTTATCATGATCATAGATCCAAATTTCATCTCCCATGATGACATTGCTTAAAAAGCTTCAATTTGAAGTAGCACAATTGCACAACTCTAGTGAAAGATGTTGATTGTGATCCATGATTTATAATATACTCCAAAACACACGTCTTAGCCATTGCTCACAACTAACTGATACACTGAACAAGTTGTTACTAAGGGTCAAATGCTGCTTTCTGAATTGAAGATCTCTATCTTTTTGTTGAATGGCACATGGCAGCAACATTCGCTATATATATATATTTAAAGTTATATCTCATAGTAAGACATTAACATATAAATCACTTGCTTTTCCATTTTAATTTCTGTTCACATAAATAAGCATAAGAAGTTACTGATCTTGCAGGCTTTTACAGCCTAAAGACCTGCAGCCATCAGTGCATATACTGGAGAGTCAAGTAGTGAAAACTTACAATCCTATTGTTGTTACCATTTGGAAAATAAGAAATTTAGCCAGGCAGGACAACTGGGTCTTTTGCTCAGTGTAAAGGACCTGGGCTCAAAATAAATGAGAAATCTGTAATATCTTTAACAAAAATAAAAAATGCATGCTGCATCTCAGCAATAAGTGAGAGTATAATCCTATCACCAGTGGGTTCTTTGAGTTTAGAATAATGGTTCCAAGATTCATTGATGTTAGATGTGTCAGTACTTCTTTTCTTTTTATTTCTAAATAATATTCTGTTGTATAGCTGGGTCACATGTTTTTTATTCATAATTTTGAGTGAATAAGTAGTATATACCAAAGAGAGCACTAAGAGCTGGGTGTAGTGGCACACATATATAGTCCCCGTACTCTGAGAAGCTGAGGCAGGAAGTTCACAAATTTGAGCTCTGTCTGGCAATTAAGTGAAACTTTGTCTTAAAAATAAAAAGGGCTGATAATGTAGCTCAGTTTGAAGGCCCTTGGTTTAAGCCCCAGTACAGGAGGGGGTGGAGCAAGAGAGTGAGGATGTGAGATGATAGGAGAGAGAAGAGAGAAAATAAGACATTGATTAGGGGTGAATAACTACATAGAAGATCAGCAAAGAAACAGAAACTTGAACACATTCTACCCAATAATAATGAAATACACTTTCTTTTCAAATGCAGATTAAGGGCCAGAGATTCAGCTCAGGGGCATAAGCGCCTGCCTGGCAAGCATAAGGTCCTGAGTTCAATTCTTGGTTCAAAAAAAAAAAAAAAATTAGAATATCAAATGCACATAAAACATCCATGATCCACCATAGTTAAGTCCATAATAAAAAAAGTCTCAATAAATTTAAAAGCATTGAACCATACAAATGATGTTTCCCACTACAGTGGCATTAAATTAAAAATAAAAACAAAGAAATTTGAAAAATTAACACATACATGGACAGTAACACATTCCTAAATAACCAGTATGTTGAAAAAAGAAAGCAAGAGAAATTAGATGAGTAAAATGAGTAAGAGAATGCAAATGAGTAAAATGAAACTACCATATAGAAAATCAAAGCAGTGCTAAAATGCACATCAGTAGCTTAGGCACTGATAGTGGAAAGAAGGATCTCAAGTTAATAATGTAGTCTTCTCTTACGGTAAGAAACTAGAAAAAGAGCAAACTAAAGTAAACGAAGAAGAAAAAAGATGATAAAGATTAGAACTGGAGAAAATTCAAAGAATGGAAAGGAAATCAAAGAAACTGAAAAGTTGGTTCTATGAAAAAAAATTTAAAAAGAGGAGATAAATTACCAAAATCAAGTTGAAGGAAGGGGCTTTTTTTTTTTTTTTTTTTTTAGCAGTACTGGGGATTGAACCCTGGACCTTTGCACTGAGTTACATACCAATCCCTTTTAAAATCTGTTCTATTTTTGACTTGTGATTTTTCTTAGATGCTAAGTGACTCATGCTGGGTTCAAACTTTTCATCTTCTTGACTTAGTCTTCTGGAGTGCTGGGATTATGGGCAGGTACCAAAGGAAGGAGCATTTTTATAGAAATGAAAAAGATAATAAAGGGACATTATAAACATTTTATATGTCAAGAATTTGAACAACCTATGTTTATTGTTAGTTAACTTTCTGGAAACACACGAACTCCAAAAACTGACTCCAGAAAATTAGAAAATTTAAATAGAACTATAAGAAATTGAATTACTAATTTAAAAAAACTTAAAAAGACAAAACAAACAAACAAAAAAACCAAAAAGCAAAGCACAAGTCATGGTAGCTACTAGTAAAAGTGGATTTTTACTACATATTTAAAATAAAAATGCTAAAAGGTGATTTTTAGGCTAGTCGGAACTGCATAGTAACCGTTTTAAAAAGAACAAAAACAAAAAAAAAAAAACACCCATCTTTCACAATCCTTCTAAAAAAGAAAACAAGAGGAAAGAATACTTTCTGCAGATATTCAACCTGCCTGTTCAGATGTAGGACCATGCTGCAATGTCAGATTTACATTACAACCCACTGCTTGGACTTAGGACCTGTCTTTTTTTTTTTGGGTACAGTTCTGTACCTCTTGTTTATAGAGCCTCTGTGTATTTTTTTGTACAGTACACCTTCTTTATAGAGTACTGTAATTTTTGCTGATTGTACTATACAATACTGTAGTTTTATGTTACACATTCTGGCACTACATGTAAGACATATGCAAATTAAAAGCAAAGTCATCAAATTTCCTTTGACCATTTGTTTTGAATATTGTAATATTATAAACTGTTTCTCATTTGGCAACCTAGCTGTAGGAACAGAATTTAGTCATTAAATAAGAAGTGTCTAATTCATTATATGACAGCAGTATTACCTTGACACCAAAAACAGACACAGACATCAGAAGAAAAGTTATGGCGCTTATCTGCAAAGCTTATGAGGAATATGGTTTTCCACAATTTAAAAAAAAATCATGAACAAAATATTAGCAAAGGAGCTCCACAACCACATAAAAAGGATTATCCTAAGAATGCAAGGGTGGTTCAACATAAGAAAAGCAATCAATGTGATAAACTATCTTAATAAAGAACAAAAATTACATGATGATCTCAGTAGCTTTGGAAAAAGCTTTTCAAAATCCAACATACTTTCATGAAACAAACAAACAAAAAACAGAAGAAATCGGGAATAAGAAGGAATTTTTACTCCCTGATAAAGTATATCAATGAAAAATCCCCTGCTAATGCCATATTTAATTAATGATGAACAACTGCTTGTCTTTCCCTAAAATGAGGAAGCCCAGGATGCCTACTACTGGCATGACACTGCTCTTCATCATTGTAGAGGAGTCTCTAACCAGGGCAATTAGGCAACATAAATAACAGACATCCAGATTGGAAAGGAAGAAATAAACTGTTAGAAGTGAGTTCATAAAGGTTACAGGTCATACAATACAAAGGTGCAATTCTATATACTAGCATGAACAATCCAAAAATAAAGTGATGTTGGGTGTGGTGGCACATGCATATAATCCGAGGCTGAGGCAGGAGGATCACAGAAAGTTTGAGACTGGCCTGGGCTACATAGTGAGTTCACAGCCAACCTGAACTATATAGTGAGACCCTGTCTCAAAAAACAAAATAAACAACCAAAAAAGACACATCATTTATAACCATATCAAAATGATGATACAAGTAGGAATAAAACCAAAAAACAAGAATTGTAGTAAAAATTACAAAACATCATTGAAAGAAGTTAAAACTTTAATAAGTGAAAAGACATGCTGAGCATTAAGAATACTTAAGATAGCATAACCTCCTAAGTCAGTGTATACATACATTCAGGACAATCCTATCAAAATTCCAGCTGGATATTTGTGGATGATAAAATGTTCCTGAAATTCACATCAAAAGGCAGGGGACCCAGAAGAGTCAAAACATAGTCTTGAAAATATAGAAACAAGTTGTAGCACTCACACTTTTTGATTTCAGTACTTAATGCAGAGATACAGTGAGACTGTGAGGTTCTAACATAAAAAAGAAAATATATGTCAATGAATAAAATTGAGAGTTGAGAAATAAACTCAGATTTATGGTTGTTTTAATGTATTTGTGGGCAGGTCTATAAGAGGATGAGGAGAACACAATTTTCTAAGCTTTGATTGACAAAACACTTCTGAGTCTCCTTTGTATAGCAACTGCTGTCAGATTTCTGGCCATTTATTGTCCTTTACCTATTGTTATCTGCCTTACTGTGTTTCCTATGGTGTATCATTGCAGTGCCGATGGGGAAGTGAAGCACTGTGTGATCTACAGCACTGCTCGGGGATATGGCTTCGCAGAGCCCTACAACCTGTACAGCTCGTTGAAGGAGCTGGTGCTCCATTACCAGCAGACATCCCTGGTCCAGCACAACGACTCCCTCAACGTCAGGCTTGCCTACCCTGTCCACGCACAGATGCCCTCGCTGTGCAGATAGAGGGGGAATGCACTAGCATTTTTCTAGTTTTTATTAGACTATGATGAGGGCATTCTTTCTACATGGACTGCTTGTTTTGCACAAGAAGTGATTTTGTGAATGTGAAGTGGAGAGGCCAAGCAGAAGCCGGCCAGGGTGGGGAAATAAGGGGCTTGGGGTCTCTAGGACTCAGCAGTGCCAGGGCACTGAAATACTAAGGTAGAAGCAGATGCTGTTTTTTTGGAAAGTCTGTTTCTATTTCATTGAAGGTTTTGTTTCTGTTTAGCCAAGTACCCTCACCAGAACATACTGGGTTTGTGGGTAGAGAGTGGGATTTGAAAGTCTCTGAAGATAGAGATTTTCTTTTGGTCCTCAACTGGGTTGGGAGGAGTTGTTTTACTCTGGTTGTCACTGTTTCTCCCAAAACAAGTTTGTCTATGATAGAATGTAATTTGATAAGAAAGAAAGAAAGAAAGAAAGAAAGAAAGAAAGAAAGAAAGCAAGCAAGCAAGCAATCAACTAAAAGAAAACATGGAGACTTAAGATTTCATGACCAAACAAAAAAAAAGTCTAAGTCAACAGGGTAAGACCAACAAAACAAAACAAAACAAAAACCAGACTTGTCTTACAAACATTAAATTAATAATTTAGGCTTTACCATCTCATTATCTCCCCCTCTCTAAAGAACGATATTCAGAAACCAACAAAGCAATGTTAGTTGCCAGATCAAGTTCTAAACAGAGACGATGGCACTAGTAGCTGAATGAGGCTTCTGTACCAAAACTTGAAAATAAGAGAATGAGAAATGTGAGTTTTAGCAAACACTAAATCTGTCAGTACATTTTCTTTTGTCCCACCTTGTATCTCTGAGATGAGGAATAGCATTCTTTTCGTGCAAATAGTGAAGTTTGAATCATAAAATGAAGTTGGTGCTTGTGTGGTGTTCCTTTAGCTTAAAGAATGATGTTTGAAACCTTTGTGACTTGTTTTTATGAGTAAAGAAAAAGTGCAATCCAGTGCTTTTAGATGGCTTGATATACCAAATACAGAACAGCATTCTTGTATGTGCTTCCCCATGTTTAAAGATCCTTCAAGAGGCCAATTTTGTGGTGCATGCCTATAATGCCAGCACTTGGGAGGCTGAGGCAGGAAAATAACTGCCAGCCTTGGCTACATGGTGAGTTTAAGGTCTGTCTGAACTGCAAATAGCGAGACCTGTCTCTGAAATAAGAAAGGCCCTGCAAGAACCAGATGGCTTAAGTTACACGGTTTAATTTCCCTTTTATTTTTGGTAGAGTTTGGGAGCTATAGGTGGCTAAGGAAAAGGAATCAGATTGTGTCTGAGACCTAGTAAATCACAGACCTAGAACCCTAGTGTCCAGGATAGTCATGCCATATTACACATACAGTAGTTTCTGAAGCTTTTGCAGGAAGGAGAGAAACTGGCTTTGAGTTTAGACTGTTAGTAGAAGCCATCTAGAAGCTTTTGTTATTGCTTTTTTGTTACCTTGCCATTAAGGCAGTGTGCAGAGTCTGCTCTCATGCTCAGGTGGTTGTGATTTTAGGCCAGGAATTGTCTGCTTCCTGTGGTTAACTTTTTTAGGTGAATGAAGGTAGCCTAGCAGAGTGGAGGGCAGGCATCTACTCTGTATTCCTGTATGTCCCACAGTCACTTGACAGAGTCCAGCTGCCCCAGAGCCAGTCCTGGAACCACAATGGGCTTTGGTGTGAGTTATGTGTTTGAGCCAGGGCTGTGCAGCTTGCCATCCAGGCTGAGCTATAGGAATAGCCAGTAACCATGACTTGGTCTATAAGGCTAGCTAGGAAAGCTGGTTGGGGGCTAAAAGAAAAAGATTACTTTATCTGAGCACTTATCTGAGTGACAGTATCTAGAATGAGCAATGATAAATTAAAATTTTTGGAAAAATGTCCAGTTTCTATCAATGAAGAAAGGAAAGAAAGGGTATATCTTTGGCTTTTCCTTGTTTACATTGGAGTCTCAGGACTAAGATCAAGACGAATGAACCCCCTCCAAAATAATTGTTCTGACTTAAAAGCCCTTAACTGACAGCCAGCACAAGCTTTCCCCAAACCACTGAATTGAAATCTTGCTGAAAGTTTCACTGCAGAATGCCAGTCTAATGGCTGCTGGCCATACCTAAGTGGTTTGTACTTGATGTTGAACTTTCTTAATAACCAGTAGTGAGGGTGCACAGAACCCCTCCTATATGGTTCTAGTGTGTTCTGAATGTCCTAAACCAAAATAGGATGGGGTACATCCCTGCAGCGTTGATGACTATGTGTGTCTGTACCTTGTTGGACAGATATGGAAGGTGTGCAGGAAGTACAAGTAACCACAGAATGTCTATACTTGTGCTGAGTTGTGGAGAAGGGGTGCAGTTTGTTACATTCCTTTTTACCCCCTTTTCATTCTTGAATTTATTGCTTTGTAGGATCTAAGACCCAAGATGATTCGAGAAATCGGAATGTATCCTTTCTAACCAGTTGTCACATGATCTGCTTGATCCTGAGCCAGTGGAAATGACCAACTACTGGGCTCCAAGTGTGTTGGGGGCAGGATGCTGCTCCTTTGTCCTATGGCTTGGGAGCAAGTTTTGGCTTTCTTCCTGAGTTTGACTCTACCTCCTATCCTATGATGTGGGCCCTGAGAATTTCTCTCTTGGTATCTTAACTGCAGTTTCACTGTGACAGGTAGAGACATAGATCAAGACCAGAGGTGCTCATCATTCTCCTGGCCACAGAAGCCAGCCATCAACCTAAAAGCAGCACGGGGATGGCTAGATACAGGTCCTGGGTTCCTCTTTTCCAGGTGGAGCTTTCATCACAGAACAATGCTGTGTGTATTCTTGGCCACAGGTACCAAAAATTTGCAGTGGCTCAGTAGGTTGCCTGTGTCCGTATCACTGACGTGGCCAAGGATGAAGACTTCTAACATTGCCACTCCCTGTCCAAGACCTTATGGGATTTCCCATTTACTTTAAACCTCAGACACTCTGAAGAAGCTTTACAAGTCAGTTAGGTGTCTTCCATGTTTCCTCTTCTTGCTGCAAGGAGCCAATCCCATGCATTCTGTTGAGCCAGGAATTGCTTATGGGCAGGTCCTGGCTTCCAAGTTGATCTGTGTTACCAGTTAAGACTCCAGAGCAGGCTTTAGAAACAAGAGGGTCAAAGAGGACCTGTGTAGGCCCCTTGCTACCAACTGCTTACCTTGCTTTATCTCCAGCTACTTGTGACAGATAACATTGTTTCCTTACAAATTGCAGCATGTGACTTTGGTGCCCTGTTGTTACTTGTGAAAAATCTGTTCTGTTGTCCTTGTGTAGTCCAAGAAGATTCATGTAGTTACATAAAAATATTACTCACAAGGAAGCCAACTGTATGTCTTGTGTTGGGACAATTCATAATGTAGTTCCTAGACCATTTGCAAATTGTTTTGTGTCACCAGATGTGTTCAGACATTGCTGTGCAGTTGTGGGGGAGGGAGGGGGGAAGGTAAGTGGTGATACTGTACTGGTTGGGCATTTTGTTTTTTACCTTCCCCAAGAGGGGAGTCTGGCCAACTTGCTCCATTAATGCAATAAAGACATTGTAATAAAGCATTTTTTTGTCTTCCTGCTATGGAGGGGCCAAGTTTGGGGAGGGGACAAGATAAGCAGTCTAAGGTACTGAAAAGCATTAAAACTCCTCTCTAGTAAGCACCAAAAGACAGATCCTTGGGCTGAACTGGGCCCCCAGAGATCATGGCACGATGTTCTCTCTGCTCAAAACAGGACACAGACTTAGATACTGAGAGAAGAGGTTAAAACTGAGAGCCATGAGAGCCACTTCCAGCCTCCTTTCATTTGTTTACTGGTTGTTATCATGTAGTCTGTTCTACTTGGAGGCTGGGGTTCCTGTTGCTCCAGGCCCTGTCTACTCTCCAAGGCACTTCAGGGTTCCTACTCACAGGGAACACAGCACACAGAAGATGGCTTCTTACTTGGGATAGTGCACTTCTCACCCATGAGTTTCCGGCCTCACTCACGTGTATTCAATTACAAAATCAGATTGAGCAGGGGACGGACCAATGGTTCTAAGTGACCTTGCCTGTGTTCTTCCTCTCAACTATATTTTAGCCGAGGATAGTGGTGCACTACTGTAATACTAACAGTCCAGCAGCTGAGGCAGGAGGATCACTGCAAGTTCAAGACCAGCCTGGGCTACATAGTGGTTTAAGAAAAGCCTGATTCACATATTGACTCCGTATCAAAACATAACAACAAAAAAAAAGACTATTGTTGTGAACTGTGATGACTTCTCTCAAATCTGACTCTGCACTCAAGACACATTCCCTCCCCCTCCCCTTTTTGAGACAGGGTCTTAACTATGTAGTTCAGGCTGGCCTCAAAACAGTAGTGATCTTCCTGCCCCAGCCTCTGGAGTGCTGGAACAACAGGCATCATCACACCCAGATCCCAAACCTTTCTAAGAGAGTTTTGTTAAGTCACTAAATTGCCCAGGCTGGGTTTGAATTTGGGATCCTGTGTCAACCTCCCAGAGTGCTGGGATTATAGGTGTATACCACCACACCCTGTGATTTGGGAGACTTATTTACATCCATGAATCCACCTGTGGTCTCTACACCAGTTATATCCATTTCTCCTGCCCAGACTTCTATCAGAAGAGAGCTCATGCTCAACACATTGAATGTAGTGCTGAATTCAGGGTTGCTAACCTCATGGCCCTGACTCTGTTGCTATTCCATTGTTTCATAATTGAATCAAATTTTAATTTTTGTAGCAAACTAAGTCACCATCCTTGATAGCCCTTCTTATCTACATAAAACCCTTTACCAACTCATATTTTATCTTGAATATCATGTCTAACCCTAATACCAAAGGCCTCCCTTCCATTGCTACTCTCATCTATTCTCATTACAGGAACCAGTTATTTGCAACATAAACTTGAAACTGTATAAAACACTTTTACACTGTATAAAAAACTTTTTCCTCCTACAGTGAGTCACAAATTTTTTTTTTCAAAGAGATGGGATCTTAGGCTGCGTTGCCAGCTGACCCTAAACTCTTGAGCTCGTGTTCCTGCTACATCAGCTTCCCAAGTGGCTGGTACCCCAGGCATCTGCCACTTCACTTGGGTAACTTCACTTGGGTAATTACAGAATTCTAGCTTCTTCCTGATTCAGGATCTTACTTTGTACCTTGTCTTTTCTTGGGCAGTTCTCTCAGCCAGTACATCTTGGGTCTCCTTTTTCATTCTGCACATTCCCTGGGCTCCTAATTCTGCATCCTTTTCCATACCTCAACCTTCCTCCTTCCCTCAACTAGAGCTGTCTCCTTACTGCTGTTCTACTTCAAGCCAACATCCTGGGTCATATCATTCTATTTCTGGGCCTGTGGATTTCAGTCTAGCCTGCTACACTGCAGCTAGTGATTTTCCTATAATTTGGAAGGACACTTCAGGCAAGTGCACTCTCTTTGGAATAATCCAGCAGTTTCTCAAAGGCAGCACCACTGGCACTTAGGGCAGGCATTTGCATAACAGGGTGTTTGGTTACCTGCCCCTCCCCTACCCTCCTTTCGCCTGAGGTCTGCTGTACTTCTGACCAGATCTAGTCATGGGGCACTCTTTCCTTAGCTGTCCTTCAGGAGGCGACCTATGGGCCATGTTCCCAGTGTCCAGTGTGGGTGGCTCAGGGTCAGCTGAGTAACTGGCGGAGGAAAGTCTAGTTTGAAATGAGGAGGGTGCTGAAGTTTGAAACATAACCCTCCAACTCGGGAGGGCCTGCCCTCTGGCAACCAGTGCTTGCTCTGTACAGGGCAGCAAAGAGTGCCAGGATTCCAGAGGCACCCAGCCAGTAGCCTACAAGTACAGTACTTGAATACTTTCCTGTCCTCAAGCCTCACCTCCAGACATAGGTGTTGGATTGTGGGGTTAGTACAATGATAGTATAATATGGGTTTGCAATTTGGGCCTCCCTGTAGAGACCAAATTGCTTTTCCAACCCCAGGCCCTCTTACCAAGCCTGTCTCCTTGCCTTGGGATACTCTCCCCTCTACCTTCATCCTAGGATGACCTCCCCTTCTTTTCAGTTCTCACCCAGTAAAGTTCTACTTATTAAAAGCTGCACATGATGATGTCTATCTTTAGTGCTGGGCCCTACCTGACAACAGGCTTACCAGAAATGGCTACGAACAGTAAGGACTTTACACAACTTTCTATTTTTATCTCATTTGACCTCTCAGCATTTTGTCAACCCCCGCTCCATTTTGAAACTTTCCTCTCTCGGATTTTATGATTCTCTCCTGGCTGCTGCTTCTGAATCTTCTTTCTTGGTCTTAAATGCTATGTTCCTCAATGTGTCACCCCTGATACACCCCTGATACATTCTCATCTCTGTCTAGCTTTCTCTCCAGAGTTCCAAATTTACTCACTCAGTTCCTTCTGATGTCCCACAAACGGCTCAAATACATCCCAAGTTAAACTCATGTCCATGTACCATTCTCTTCTAATTCACTGGCTAAGAGGCACTCAGGAGATGAATGTGAATTCCAGAATCAAGATTGATTCCAGATCTGTGTAAGCTATTCTATCTCATGCAGAAAAGCCTGAGCTTCCTTCTTTGTAAAGCAGGAATATTAGTTGTCACGTGGCTGCTTTTATCAACTGCACAAGGTCTTAAATTCCTGGAGGACCATTAGATACAGTCCTTTCTTAATCTGAAGATCCATTTCCACTTTGAATTATTTTTGGTTCAACATACCAGATACATATATATGATATACTATGGACATTCTCTCCTAAACCAACCCCTTCCCTTCCATACCCAGCACACTTCCTATTGCCTCTTCTCATGTTTGAGCTCACAGTGTCTGAGAAGTGACTGGATTAGATGCCTTTCACTTGAGAGTGGGAACTATATTCTTAAGTCACATGTATGACAATTTAAGGAAAGAAGCAAGCAAAAGACAAAGATGGTTTTCAGGAGTGTGTATTACACAGGTCTAAGTACAAGAATTGGCAACAACTGCTATGTTTGCTTGAACAACTCATCAGGTGTCAATGGGATGTCCTGATGCTTTTGATGGCTCCCTGGTTCTTGGCCCCTCCAGAACAGGTTGGGTTCAGTCTCTTGGGCGAGTGTGCAGCCTCGGTATGGAACATTCTGCCTCTTGTCACCTGAGACATCAGGCACTTTGATGCTCAGGGATGGCTCTTCTTTCTTCATTTGTGCACATTCTTGCTCCCATTGCTGGGTTTGAGTGAGAACCTCACAAGGTGGACAGGCCAGACCAGGGGAATCAAGTGACTGTGATTTCCCACCTTGTCCAGAAGACAGGTTTTTAGGATGATCCAGAGCTGTGGTTTGCAAATCCTGAGGACTGGCTAGCCCACCTGCTGCTGTCTTTCTGTTTGAGGATGCCTTGTCTGGGCCCTCAGTAAGGAACTTCCAGGACCATGTGCTTGGCATCCCAGTGGTAGGACTGCCAGCAGAACAGCTGGTGGGGATGTGTCCAGAAGAGCTGGGACAAAGTGCAGTCAATGCCTGGGTGTGGAGGTGCTGGGCCTTTAAGCAGCTATCAGTGGGGGAGAGGTCTGTGGGTCCACACCTCCCCAGGCTAGAGGGTGGTAAGGAGAAGCTGGTAGCCTCCTCAAAGGCCTGTGGGCTCACAAGCCTCCTCTGGGGAACAGCAGAACCTATTTTGGAAGGTCCCATGATCACCCCTGTCAGAAGGCCTGGGACCAATGAACCCTGGTTCCTTGGGTCCTTGGGTAAGATGGTTTCCTTTTTCCTATCCTCTCTTGCTCCTCTAGAGGGTAGACTCTGGCCCACTTCTGGGTTGGGTGCCAAGTTTGACTCCAGTACACCCTGGCTGTTCTCTGGGTCATCGTCAGTGTCATCCTCTGAGGAATCTACCTCTCGGATAGCTTCTTGCTTTTGAAGTGACTCTCGTCGTTCAACTCGGTCTTGCCGGAGCGTGCCTAAGGCTCGCGAAGGAGCAGACTGCAGCACTCCCTTCCCTTGGAGTGTACCTTTCCCAGACAGCACAGCCCTGGTTCCAACTACCTCTAGAGGGCTGCCTTCCCTGGGTGACAGTTCCTTCTTTAGCTCACAGTGGGGCAGGTCAAGCCCATGCTTGTGAGAAGGGGGTCGCTTCTTCTCAGAAGCAGCCAGTGCAGCTGCCAATTTCTCAGCAGACTGTATCCGCTTAAGTAGTGGTGAGCGAGGTGGCTCCGCACTCTTGGGCCTGGAGAGTTGCCTGCCCAGTGGAGGTGATGAGTGAAGTTTAGAAGGAAAGGCCTGGGCCCCATGACCAGACAGCGGTGACGGGGAACGCTGAGGGGAAGCTGCCGGTGGTGGAGAAGGAGTGTGGGCCAGTGGTGACAGTGGAATGCTGCCTGCTGACTTGCGCCGGGGAGAGCGGTACTGACGTTGAAGCTTGGGGGCCAAACCATGGAGAGAGCTGGGCCGAGTATGTGCAGAGCCAGCTGGGGAACTGGGTACGCTGGAGCTGGGGGAGCTGCTCTGTGATGAATTGCCTGCCACTTTATACAAAAAAAAAAAAAAAAAAAAAAAAAAAAGACAAAGGCTTGTTAGCTCCAAGAAGTGACTGAGAGGCAAAAGACAGTCCAAGGATTCAGCCTTGGAAGGTTACATCATGGCTCCAGACTATAGAAACAAACTCCTCCCAAGATTACTGGACCTTTCAGGGGACAGGTGAAAGAGTCATAGAGGGACATTTAGAGAATGGTATCCAGACACTTCCTTATTTCCCAGGGGTTGCTCTAGTCTGGTAAAGAGACCTTTGTACCTGAGTGTACAGCATCAGGGGCCACTCGGTAGCTCTGAGTAGGAGATCTGGGAGAAAGGCTGTGGCTGTGTGTGGGAGAGCCCGGCCCACTCTCCCCTGATGACAATGAGCGGTTCAAGGAAGAAAGGCTGCGGCTGGTGTGCAGCAGGGAGGCCTGCTTGGTGATCTTTCGGAACAAGGAGCTTCTTTTCCTGCAGAGAGGAGCCCACAGCTGAGTCAAGGCACAACCTGGGCCCAATGCTAAGGCATCAGCACAGGCCGACACCTGGTGCTCAGCACAAGCTCTGTGTGAAGCCTCACTCACCTTTCCTGCCCGTCCTTGCCCCGGTTCCGCTTGCTCCTTCGTGCCATCTTGGCCTTGTAGCTGCCTTTCCGAGCCGGCCCCACTTTAATGGAGGTGTTCTCCAGGGGAGTTGTCGAAATAGATACCTTATTTCCACTCTGGGAAGCAAAATAGGATGAGGCTAAGCTGTGATGGTGGGATTCTCCCTCTTGCCCTTGTCCTTTGACATGGCTGTACCACAGTACAGCATCTGACCCTCCACCAACAAGTCTGAACAAGACCTATCTCCCTCTTTCCAATTACAAAATTGCTTTCACTGGCACTAAGAATGGTTTGGGGGTGGGAGGACACAGAAGAGTCTCCCCTGTCCTGTTTGCTGTTTCTACTAACAGCTCAGAAGATCTCTGGGCCTTAGCCAGTGAAGGCACTGTCTTCTGGAGAAAACCCAGTGCCATACCCTCCCCCTCCTCAAAGACCCTCATCAAGGACCACAGCAGGTGGCATTCTTAGGACTAACCTTCAGGATTAGCTCTACCACCTCTGTGTGCACCAGCCCGTGTACAGGTTCCCCATTGACGTGAGTGATGAGGTCACCCTGACGAAGCCCTGCTTCGCTGGCTGGACCTCCATCTTCCACATGCTGTTCCAGGAAGAGAAGTCTTTAATCTGGAGCTTGAGTATGAGGTATGGGGCTTGTTTCTATTTATTAAGCCCTGATCCCCTTTACCACCACCCTTTGACCTCTGTGAGTAGCAGGGACAGTGACAAAAGAAAGGACACACAGCCTTACTACGGGGAAGGAAGAAAAGTGATGAAGCTGGGACACAACAGGTCTAGATGGCCAGACATACCCACACCATGTGGTGCACAGTGTAGACATCGGAGTCACCCATGTAGACACGAATGGCCCGCAGAGTGAAACCATATTTCTTGCCAGCTCGGTGAATGATGATGGGAGGCCTCAAGCTGCCAAAGGCTGGCAAGAAGTCCCTACTTGGAGAAGAGTCCCTGGATGACGGGTTGGATGACTGGGAGTGTGGGGACATGGGACTGGCCAGTGGAGAACAGGTGTGGTGCTCTGGAGAAGAAGAAGCCAGGACTTAGTGGGTCATAGGCTTCAGCCTGGCCATGCTCGTAGGCTACCCTCTGCCTAATCTGCTAAGCCCTGCCCAGCTCTAGCTACAGATAGAGCTGGAGCCCAGGTGCATCTTCCCCACAGCTCTTGACCCACAAAGCCCACTCACCTGTCCAGAGCTTCCCAGGCTCATATGGGGCTTGGATGATGGGAAACAGTAGCTAGCATTTATGTATCAGGAATGATACAAACTCTTCATGCTTTATTTAAGCATTATAATTACCTTATGAGCCAGTCACTATTAATATCCACATTTTTAAAATGAAGACACTAGAAAGGGTTAGACAACTTGTCAAGGTCATGAGGCTTTAATGTTGCAGCAAGGATTTGAATATTGGTCCTCTGCCCTCAAAACCTGCTCTTAATACATGGTGCTGTCTTGTCCTCTGGCACACACACCTTCACCCCCAGACCAACGCACACCTTCAGAGACTTCTACCTTCATAACAAAATGACACACAGTCTCTGACACCTGCACAAACACATACACATTTGCCACTCAGGCCCCTGCCCATGGAAATTCTAACATCTTTCCTTATGAGTTTTATCTTAGTTCCCTGGAGATCTCACCTGCAGGAATGAGGAGGGAAAGGGCTGTAGCTGAGGCAGACTTGATTACTTTGTTGACAGGGCGAGTGGTGCGTTTCTCTGTAGAGTCCCCAGAGAGTAGCCGGTGACGAGCCCTACGCACAGCCAAGTCACTGATGGCCTTGGCTCCCTCAGCCAGCTGTGGGTTCCCACGACCTCTGGTCTCTATGGCTGTGGGCCCAAGTGAACAATGAGACCAACAATGTGACTGAGCCCCCCTCCCTGCAGCATCCCCCAGCCAAAGCCCTTTGGCTATCCACTGTGCCATACCCGGACAGGAACTGCTGCCCTGCCTAAGAGGCTCTTCATCCAATTTCAGCTGTTGTTCCACTGTCCGTTCAGGGACAGGTCCAGATGCTCCCTCTGCAGATGGGGGTGTCAGAACCCATATCCCTTCCTGCTGCTGCCTCCTAGGAGTACTGCTAGCCTCCTCAGGGCCCTCAGGAAAGCGAGGGACATCCAGGAGGCCTGAACAGTGGCGTCGCACTGTCATTGGAGGGCTCGAGTCACTCTCTGTGTGGGACGATTCAGACACTGACAGCTGCTTCCGTAATCTGTAAATCATGAGGCCTGGGGTGAGATTATCCAGGTAGTATCCCTCTTCCCATCCATGCTTCCTTGAGTTACATGAGAACTACAATCACAGAAAATGTCTTCTCAGACATTCTTCTAGGACTGCCCTTGGGAATACTGCGTCACTGCCATGCCCCTCCCCAGGATACATTTCCAGAGGCCTCCCATAGTCTCTGCCACCTACTCTGCTGAGCCCTAGGTGCTTACATCTCAGGGGAGCCAACCACCCAGCTACGGTCTCGGCCCTTCAGCACTGCCAGGCCATCTGAGTGATCCTCCTTCTCCTCACTCAGGCTGCGCTTAGTAGGGGGTGGCATCCAGCGTTCCTCAAGCAGGGAAAGCCGCTCCATGCTACTGTATACCTGTGGGGACAGGGGACACAATGGGATCAGTTCTGAAAGCCATAACTCTCAAAGGACAAAAGATGTCCTTCACACTGAGGAATATGAACAAGTTCTTTCCTTTCTTCTAGGGAAGCAGTTATTCCACTAGTCTAACTTGGCCTGACTCTGGCACCTCTTATAGGAACTGGAGTGGTTCTGTGTAGCTCAGACCTCTGCTTCTGTTTTCCTGGAAGTGCGCCTTGTGCCAACGCTCTGAGCCTGACCCAGGTATGTCCTTCAGTAGGTCCTCTTATCCCAACCTTCCACGCTGGGATTCCTCAGTCGCACCTTGCTAAACCTTGGAGAGCAGGAGGAGAACTGGCGAATCTCGAGGCAGCCATCCTCACTCACTTCCTCTTCGTCTTCTGAGTCCACATGGTGGTATCGCTCCGAGCGGGCTAGACCAGATACACAAGACAATTCCTTTAAGAACCTCTGCTAGTAGCATTCTATGAGACCTTAGCAGCATCCTGAGAAGTAACTCTCAATGCTAAGTGTATGCAGATGACTCTGGGAAAACAGGTGGGACCTGTACTCCACCTTATATCACCAGAGGCCTTACTGTCAAAATAGCTGGTGTCATCTTCTGACTCTAGTTGAGGAATAAATTCAGCCTTCTGGCGAAGAAGTCCTGTCCAGTCCAGCCCAGTAAAGAATGGGTGCTGCTTTACCTCATAAGCACCACCTGTAGACAGAGAGCACATGGAGTCTGTGTCAGCAAGTCTGATGAGAAGCTAACCTTGGAAAAGATCTGAAATCTCAGCTCCAGTATCTTTCTCTTTTTGTACCTACACAGGGAACAGGGCAGTTTTAGGATCCAGGGCACCTACCCATATCTGAAGCCTGAATCTCAGTGTGTGTGATCGAGCCACCCTTCTCCCCATTCTAAGTGGTGAGAAAGGAGAGTGGGGCATGACCTACCTGTGCCCAGTCTCTCCAGAGGGTTTTGGTGAAGCAGTTTGGAGGTGAGGTCTTGGGCATCTGGAGGCAGTGCATCGTCACCCTCAGGCCACACAATCTCATCTGATGTCACCAAGAGTGAAAAGTGAAAGAGAAATTGTTGGTAGTATGGAGAAATGCAGAAGGTAGCCCAGGATAATATAAGGAAGCACAAAGGGCCTAGCCCAAAGCCCCTGAAGGCCTTGATTCCTTAAATTCTTATAGGCTCTTCCTCACCTAGTAGAATCTATTTCCTATAGCATGGCTTGCTCTTTGTTTCAGGCATGGCATTGCAAAACATTGACATCCCTGCACTGCAGGTTACCTTGCTTTATATGCCAGATACGGAACTCACACTCATAAGATAAGCATCTATGTAACATAGGAATACTATGTACACATGGGAGCCACATGAACACAAATAGATCAAACTTCAGGGGACATAGTTCCTGTATGTGTACACCCACACAGATGCACCCTCCCCCCAACCCAAGAAGCAAGCATGTCGAACACTCACGAATGCAGAACAAGAGCTCCAGAGTTTCAGAGGTACATGCATAAATCATATTTGAAGATCTGGGCCAGTTGATGGTACCTACCACTGATCACCTGCCCAAAGAGCTCCTCCGGAGTATCTCCAAAGAAAGGGACGCAACCCACCAGGAACTCATACAGGATTATGCCCATGGCCCACCAGTCCACTGGCTTTCCATAGCCTTGACGCAAGATCACCTCAGGTGCTATGTACTCTGGCGTCCCGCACACCTGGGTACAGAGAAGCCAGGCTGGCTCAGCATCCCAAGCCAGCTTACTAGTATGATGGCAAGAGGGGCTTTAGTGAGTAAATGAGATCAACGGGAGCCTCTGAGAACTGGAGTTAGAACTCTGGGTAGGGTGAATTTAATATATTTCCTGATTAACCAAGGTGACTAATTCTAGCCGGGAGTTGCCATCCCTTGAACTCCTAATGCTCTTTCTGGAATCTGATCCCATGAACAGCCTTTGCCCTATAGCTTCCCAAATAAAGAACCTACAGGGACTTGTGAATATTATGCCTAAAATGTCAAATCAGGGAACACCAGGAGGCTACTCTCAGGAAACTGAGTCATAGCTCAATGGAAATTTGGAGCTATGTTCCAAGAACAACAAACCCCAGGAAAGTCTTGACCTTGACTCACGCTTCAGCACTTCAGAACTTCAGCACTGACCCCCCATTTACAGTTGTATGTTCAATTTTCTCCAAACCACAAAAGGATGACTGAATTTATACTCACACAATTCTCATGGTCTATCCTGTTTTTTGTTACTGTTTTTCTTTTGTTATGTTTTTGGTGGGACTGAGGATCAAACTCAGGCCTTTACCACGAGCCACATCATCAGGCCTTTTCTAAACATATTTTATTTAGAGACAGAATTTTGCTAAGTTGTCCAGGGAGGGCTCAAACTTGGTAATGCTCTTGCCTTAACTTCCCAAAGTGCTGAAATTACAGTTGTGCACCATGCTGCCTGACCCCATCCTGTTTTCCAAATGTGCTACCTGTTTCAGTGTCTTTCTGGAATCAAATGTAGAAACGATTCCAGTATTAACATCTAGCCACAGGGTAGACGTGCATTTCCAAGAACTAATTCTTAAGTCTGGAATTCAACCCCCAAAGTCTCACCAATCCTACCATACCTGCTTGTCTAGGAACTCCCGGGCATCCTTTTCAATGTGGCCTTCGTACAAATTGGTTGTCAGACTCATAAGGCCAATTTTAGAAAGTCCAAAGTCAGTGAGTTTGATGTGTCCCATGGATGTAATCAGGAGGCTGTTAAAATCACAGAAACAAAAATATGGAGTTATTTTCTGGTTCTCAAAGAATGCTGATTTTAGTATTCATCGTATTTCCCCACCCTGGTCTTGATGGGGTATTGTGGGACACAAGCAGACAGGTGGTAGCTATGAAAATAATAAATAGCTCTGGTTTTCTAAGTATTGCCTTCTGCACGAGCAGTTAACCTGCCTTTTGTCTAATCCCAAGACTATTTTTCTGTATTGCTCTGTCAGTACTTCTCTTTCATAGAACTAAGATCTGCTCATTGTAAGCCTGTTTCTCTAGCTAGTCCTGGTTTTCTCTCCTCATTTGGGTGGTTCACAATAGCCACATCAGTGTAAGGAAAAGAAAAGCACAAAATCTGAGTCTATATCCCTGGTTGTCTTGGAAAGCTGAGCAAGAGAAACTAGCAATCAGGTATCTTTGTACACTCTGTGGAAGTCACTTCATTCTAAGATGTGACTCCCAAGTCACTATCTTTGGTAGACATGTCTACCAACTGTCCAGATACCACAAACTCAATCAGCTCAAATCAAAGTCCTGCCTCCTAACTGGCTCCTCTTCTCAATGAAAAATGGTATTTTCTGTCATCTATTGAGCTCTGTGATAAATATGAAAATGCTCTAGAGCTTGCTCAGTGGTACAGCATTTGCCTAGCATGTATAAGGCCCAGGGTTCAATCTCCTGGCCACTTAAAAGAAAAGAAGTTGGTCTAACAGTAAAGGAAGGTAGTATTAGTCTCATTTTAGAGAGGAGGAACATGAAGCTCAGGAAAATTTAATTAACAGGTCAACTATTCACAGAGTTAACAAGTATAGATGGCCATCTGAATTCAGGTTTGTCCAATACCAAACCTTCTTTCTACCACAAGGCTTACCACCCTGTACAACTCTCAAAGTAGAAGTCTCACAGGTCTTTTGCTGCTTCCTCACTTTCTTTTTGAGCACCAGCCCTACATCTGTCCTTTCTAATTCCCTACACTATTTTCTTTATACTCCATCCTGCTCCTTTGGTTATCAGGTTCTTCAAAAATTCTCTAGGCTCTTTTAAAAGAAAACTCAAACTTACAAAGGTCCTTAATGACTTAGCTCCTGTCTCTTTGCTGTTAATCCTTTTTTCTTACTGAAATTGTCTAAGCTACAGACATGTTCACTTATACCTGTACGTTTTGGTACACATTGCTCTCCTGCTTCATTTAGAAAGTAGCACCCACATTTTCTCAGTTGACTAAAGCCCTCCAAGAAGTAGCCTATACATGTCTCCCACACTAGACTTAAATTCAACATACTCGGAACTACAATATAGTTAAAACCAGGAATATAGAGCTGGGCACAGAATAGGTGGCAATAACTGTCATAAACACCCATTCAGCCATCTATTATTAGATGTGCTAGTTTTTTGTTCTTGCTCAATTCTTCAGCAGAGCCCCTTAGTGACTCCTTCATGTCACTAAATCTTTATGATGCTCTTGGAAGATCTCGTGCCAAAGGTCTTTGCATACGGGGTTGTCAGGGTTTGAAAGGATACAAACATGAATGCTGTTTCCCAGAAGCCACTCTTGGATAGATTCAAATATTCTGTGTTGGTCTGTGTTTATTTAGAAACTCAAGAGGGAAACCTTGGACAATGGACTCAGGTTGTGGGCATACTTGTCAGGCTTGAGGTCACGATGCACAATGCCATAGTTGTGTAAATACTCCAAGGCCAGCACAGTTTCCGCAAAGTACAGACGCACCATATCCACAGGCAAAGCGCCAATGTTCTTCAACAGAGTGGCACAGTCTCCTCCTGCAAGAAGCCCAGGCTACCATGAGGGAGAGATATGGTTCTCTACTCTAGCCAGTTCTGAGGTTTGCTGTCTAGAGTTCCCTGGTACTAGAAACTGTGATTCTAGCTCCTCTGTTGCTGACATAGTTATAAATTGGGTATAAAGGGGAGTGAGAAGTGAATTAGCCAATGGCCGTCAAGACCATTATGGGTGAGAAAACAAAGGAATCGAGGCCTTTCTGCCTGGATGATGACTTGTAAAACTTGTGTTATTATAGGACAGGAATACTGTTAAGTATTTAACAGCTAAGACTATCATTTGTTCATTTGTTCCCTTCCTATTGACTTTTATTAGTTTCTAAGTAAAATAACACTATAAATTCCCAGTATATACTTACAGAATTAGATGGGCAGTTTTTTTCAGCTTCAATTTTAAGCCTTAGGGAAAATATCTTTGGGAAATATACATAACTATGAGAAGAGAAGAGGACAGGTCATTGCAGACCTACCCTCTCCAGAGCTCTTCCCCATGCTGTCCTTCTAGTGCATTTCCAAAACATTCTGAGTGGCTTTAAGGGGTGTCCCCTTTACAAACCATCAGCCTGAGCAATGGTTCTTCTTTCTTCTGAGGGCCCAGATGTAATCCTCTTAGTACCTAGCCTTGAGTTCTTGTGATTCTGATACCTTTTTTTTCCTGTCTAATGCCAGCGGAAGAGAGTATGCAGGGTTTGGGGAATAGAATTCTATTGCTGATGGGCTGCTACATTCTGTCTCAGGGTATCTCTCACTACAATTGACACAGGCAGCCTCATAATGAGGCAGGGAGCCTCTGTGTTCATGGTGGCCAAATGGTCTTTGAGATCCTGTAGCAGAAACCGATGCCAAAAAGGACTTGGAAGCTGGCCCTGAAACTTCACTTCTAGATGAGGCTCTGCCTCCTGTTTAGGGCTAAGGCTCAGACTGTACCATGGCCCCAGTACCTTCAACATATTCCATCACCATGCACAAGTGGCGCTTGGTCTCGAAGGAGCAGAACATGCTGACCACGAAAGGGTTCTCAGCAAAGGTCAGTATGTCACGTTCCACAAAGGCCTGCTGGATCTGGTTCCGTAGGATCAGGTTCTGTTTATTGATCTTCTTCATGGCAAAGCGCTGCCGGGTGGACTTGTGCCGTACCAGGAATACAGCCCTAGGAAACACAACACAACACAGCCCAGCCTAGCCTGCGTGGGCTTTAGCATCTGAGCTATGCTCCCCACCACCAAAAACTGCCTCCTCACATCTTATAAATGCATGGAAAAAGGAAGCAGAGCTGTACATATAATGAGAGGGACCTAGGGCCCCTAACTCTGACAACTTAGAAGTTTCCCAATAAACCATGTCCCAAGGACACAGTTCAATGTTTCCAGAACTGAGAGACAGGAGGAGTATGACCAAAGAGGGGTGAGAATCTTGCCTGAGAAAAAAACATAGCTTCAATGTCAAACGAAACAATTATTGCCTCTGAGGCTTCAGGAAGGGAAAGGCTCCATCCTAAGATACCCCAGGAATTGGGAAACATACATTTCTAGAAGGAAGAGACCAAGGGCTGACTCAACTCCTCTCCTGGCCACACTCTGACCCCTGTCTTTACCCATAAGCGCCATTGCTGATGAGCTTAATTGTTTCAAAGTCCTCTTCAGAGGGGGTCGTTTTAGATGGCAGACATGCCCCACGGCCCTGGAAGAAAAGGGAAAGGCAAAGGGCAGACATGCTTCTGAAAGCCCACATACTGGGGGATCTGTCAATCCAGTCTCGGCTTGGCTCTCAGCCGAGTTGGAGTCTTCTGCCCATTCTTCTCCCAAAGCAGCATGCCTTTTCAATGTTTGCAGCTGCCAACTGTATATTCTTTTTCAGATATTGTCTTAAAGAGAATTAACAGTCCTTTGGTTCACAGGTCTCAGCCTCCAGGATTGGAGCAGGAGCTCAAGTTCTTTACCTCAACTGAATCATCTGTCTCTGGAGTATCAGGACTGTCATAGCTGCTCAAATGGGTCATTTCTAGAAACACAAAAAGGACACAAAAGAAAAATGTGCATGGCAATTTCAGGCATCAATGTGCCCACAGGTCATACATAGGTGCAAGTTGGGGGAGGCATTAATGAAATCATAGCTTTTGGATCAGCAATCAAGCCAGATACTATTGTGTCACTGTCTTGGCAAGTCTAGCGCCACCGACAAGGCTTCTCACAATTGTGTCACATATCCTAGAAAAAACTTCTCACAAATGTGTCACATATCCTAGAAAACAAAATTTAAGGCTGGGTTACCAGTAGCTATCCTGCTGGTCTGAGACTACTTTGCTGGATGGGGCTGGGAAGTAGGGGAAACAGGAACAGGACAGTTATTGACCAGGAATCATGGAAGCCCATGGTTCATAGAGGAGTTCAGCATGAAGCCAGACGAATGGAGATCTCCTGAGCTGGATTATCCCACAGACAGGAAGATTTATAAGGTGACTAGCAGGAGAAGGAAGTACATGGAAGAGATGACCATTTTTTTGAAATGATTACAGTCCTTTATTGTTAACTTCAATTGATCTGAGGTTCTAAATCCAAGTTGGATGGGTCCAGTGAAGTGAGAGGTCCTGGCACATAGAAAGCAGTTGCAAACAGTAATTCCAAAGGAAAGGAATTGACAGAGACCACAAAGTGCCTCACATAGTCCTAAAACTTCTGATGAAATGTTGTGCTCACATCCAGGCTAAATCTCTTCTTTGCAAAACCAGATAGCATGCTCACCCTCGAGGGGATCCCGCGTAAGGCCCAGTTGGCTAACAATGTAGCGGGGAATGTCACATTTAATTCCATGTCCCTCTTTGGCGTGACCCTCAGCTGCTTCTAACAGGTGATAGAACTCTTCAGGGTCAAACTCCTGCACCGGGGGGAGAGACAGTAAGTGGTGACAGATTCATGTTTGGATTTACAGCATATAACAAAAGGGGGAAAACAAAGAAGACTTTCTCTTTGTGACACCGTGAATACCAGAAATACTATGATTTGGGGATTACAGAAGTGGGGTAAAGCTGTCTTCTAGATCACTCCCAGGTAACATACTAAGCGTGCCTTCCCAGCAATAAGAACAAGACCTTTTGGTTTCAAAAAAAAAATATCTCAGCTTATTCATTTGGTGTTGGAGCCTTCCAGTCCAGAGCAGTCCTGCCACACCTTCAATTGTAGCTCCCAGCTCTAGTGATGCAAAAAAAGCCTTCACATATTTACCAAGTACCTCCTGTGTATAAGAAGTTGGTGTTCCAACTTTGACAAGAGCACAATCCTTGCTTTCTTATCATAACAAGGGCCTTACTTCATCTACCAAGTATCATACTCTTGACTAAATTCTAAGAAGTCTTTGACCCCAGTGAAGAAAATATGGAGTGCTCACAGTGGTGCACAGACTCATCTATCGATGGGTGCAGAAGTAGGCAGGAACAGAAAATCAGTATGCAAACCTGCCTGGCTTCAACCTCCCACTTTATCAGACTTCGTAGTCTCAAACCTCTCTACTTTGTACTTCCTTTCATTCCTTCTAGTACCTGTTGGAGAGCTATACTACTACCTATCTGGATGTCACCTAAGCCAGATCTAGAAGTTCTTTTAACTTCTTACTCTTTATCAGCTCTGATCAGAATATCTACCTCATAAATACCTCTCAAAACCACTTCTCTTTTCTTTTCCCACTGTCCTAGTTCTGGCTACTCTATCTCACATCAATAGTTTTAAGTATCTCTGAAGTGGTTTCCCTACTTCATCCTACCCTCTCTTCTAATCTACCATTCATGTGAGGCCAAAGTAATTTTTCGTAGAACTAAACCTGATGGAGTATTTCCTTAGAAATAAGTAGGAACCACTAACTAGTACAGCTAATAACATGTACAAATCTCAAATACTACATTGAAGAAAGAATCACACTACAAAGGTAAATGTTTCCATAGTGAAAGAGCAGAAAAGCGGTGTCTGGGAGGAAGGATCCTAATGCCTTCCCATTGGAAGGGGCCAATGCCAAAGGAGCATGAGGGAACTTTTAAGGAAACAGAAATGTTATCTATGTCAGCTATGGCGGTGATTCTACTAATGTGTATTTGTTAAAACTCAATGAACTGTATAGTCCAAAGGGATATATCTCATTGTATGTAAATTATACTTAATAAAGTTGGTTAAGTAAAACATCAATCTGACTGTGACATCTATGAACCTAAACTTTCTGGTAGTTCCAAGTGGCTTGACACATAAGACAAACTCCTGAGCTGAGGACCTAATACCTTCATGGTCTCAGATGGCTTACCTCCCTGCTTCATCCTTCATCAATTCTTCAAACACATCCTGTTCTTTGCCGAGTGTCCTATTTTATGCCCTTTACCTGGCAAACTTGTAGTTATCCTGTAGGTTACTAAATAGGCCACATGTCCCCCATGAAGCTTTTAATGCATGTCCATTCTAAGGAGGATTTGAAAGCACTACTTTCATTAGATTTTCAATGTACCCTGTACTGACTTCAGCTGTCATATTTCTTATAATAGATAATCAGTATTTACCGCCTTATACTTGCTGATGTCACTACAAAGGAAACAGTCTGTCAGGGGCTCTGGTATATTCCTATGTGTACTTTCAGTGTCTAACAATAAAGTAGGTACTCAATAAGGCATAGTTAACTATTAAATGAAAAACTTCAATTGTGCAAACTAAATTGCCTCCTGCGCTCAATGCTTCTGGGCCCAAAGGCCTCCACTCCAGATCAGGGTGAGAGTAGACTGACTACTACTTCTTGCCTTCCTCTTCAGGACCATTTATATTTGTCCTTACAGGAACCTGCTTAATCTTCTAATGCTTGCAAATGGTATTTTAAAAAATATTCTTATTTGTACATGTCTGAAATACATAATGATTATACTGCTTATGAGGAGTTGGTACATGTATATAACACATCTTAATTCTTTTTTTAATCCCCCTTCCCCTTCCCTCCATCTCTTGATCCTCTATCTTTCTGTAAAACATTTATCTTTCTACTTCCTATTATCTATCTTTTACTTTACCTTTTATATTTTGGGTTTTTCATGTAAGAGAAACCATGTGATAGTTAAAAGTTTGTGTTTCTGATTTATTTCACTTAGAGTTATGGTCTCAACGTGTACCTATCTTCCTACAAATGACTCAAGTTTACCATTTTTTTATGGCATAGTACTACTACATGGTATATAAATGTCACTTTTTAAAAATCCACTCACTCATCTGTTAACTTCCAAGATTTAGCTATTATGAGTTACACTGCTATAAACTTCAGTATACAAGTATCACTGTAATGTAATGTCTTTAATTCTTTTTAGAAGATACTTAAAAGAGGAATAGCTGAAATGGAATTTCTAGTTTTAGTTTTTTGAGAAATCACTATACTGATTTCCAGAATTGTTATACCGTACTAGTTTATACTCCCACTGACAATGCAGAGGTTCCTTTTCCCTATAGCCTTGCCAGTATTTATTGATTTCTTTATGACAGTCAATAAGGTGAAATCTAAGTGTTTTTTTTAAATTCTGAAAATCATATTTAAATAAAGATTTCAGCCACAGAAATGGTAGTGGTATTACCACAGTTTTGTATGGACAAAATTCTTTCTCTACAGTCCTCTCTCCCATCTATGTTTCCCAGAGTCTACTCACCAGGCACTCCAAGAGTCGAGCTGGGCGGGCAATGACAATCATCAGTTTTTTTACCAACTGCATTACAAAAGTCACCTCCGAGCTCTCTGAGCGCTCATGAGCCTAAAGAGACACAAAGGCTGCTTAAGCAACTTACTGGCTCAATGTGGCTAGGCTAAACAGGACTGGACTGGGCAGAACCGACTACAGAAAAGTATTTGGTAGTAGAACTCTGCAAAGCAAAGAACTCAGAGAAGGCTAGTCAGCTGTGAGAAAGAACAAGTTGCTCATCTGAACCACTGAGCTTTAGAATGCTACGTGACACCAAGGAATGTCACACAGACACAGCTTTACCTGCTCCCTCATTTAACAGGCTTCACTTACCCTCCAGTCCCCAGCTCAAGGGGCAACTCTCAATGGAGCTTTCTCTGATGTTCACTTTGCACCCCAGACAGACTGTAAGGAACAGAAAGACCTCAACAGCTGAGGAGTGATACGACCAGAGAGGTACTTCAGAAAGATCACCATGGCTATGCAGAGGGTGCACTAAAGAGGGCAAGTGTAAAAGCAGGAAAACCATCAATAGGCAAATGCAATGACTCAGATGAAAAAGGCTAAATCAAGAGAGTAAGACTGGAGGAAAGTGCCTTGGACCATTTCTGGACTGGGAGTGGGGGCAAAAGCAGGAAAAGAATATAATCATAACTTCACTTTTAGGGAAATTTAATTACACCCATAAATGAATGTGAATTATAAAGAAATCAATAGTTTAGGTGAGAATAAGCAAAGAATAAATTACATTTGGTTTTAGGAAAAATACCATCCAAGTGGAAAAGTAAGTATGATAGAGTGTTAGATACCTATACAGATAGCCTCTTGGGTATTTACTAGACCCAAGGAACTCTTCTCTTTTTACTGAGAACTGTTTAGCTTTCTATGAGCCACGTTTACACTGTGTGGCTGGACCTTCTCCTAGTCCAAGAACTCATCAGTGTGGACTGCTTTTCTTAAATTTAAAGACAGACAAAGAGTTAGTATCAGTGTAGCAGAACTGCATGGTTTTTCATTTGAGTGAAAGGAGATGGTTCGTCATTCTTCCCTACAGATAATAGAAAATCAGCAGGAAGAAATAGAGATGAAAAGAGAAGAACAAGCACTCTCTGAGTTTGTTAGTTTCTGATTTCTAATTCTGGTCCCTTCTTAAGGTCTGGTGCATTCCTATCTTTAATTTTCTAAGGATTGTCTTATGCTTGTCACTAGCTTCCCTTTATTGCTAAAATTACTAAGTCAGACTTCTGTTACTTATAACCAAATAACATGAACCTATAAGGAAATTAAAGTGGAGAAATTCAGAATGGGTACACAGTCTTCAGTGGATGCATGAAAATTTAGGCTCTGGAAGCACATGAGGTTCATTAGCATGAGAGTGGAGAAATAAAATAGAGAACAGACACTCTGGATGGGGCCCTGTGAACCACCAGCAACCAGGAGATAGGCAGAGAAGGAACCTGTGAAGAGGCAGCAAGACTGGAAAGAAAGTAAACCAACAACATGGAAAATAAAGGTTCAGGAGGAGGTATTTACTGTGCCTGCAGACTACCAAAGAAAGATGAGGACTGAAAGAGGCCACAAGATTTGGTGATTAGTTCTTTGGTAACTTTTGCCTTACAATTTTAAGGGCAACTAACTAAAAGGCAAAAGACTAATGCATAGAAAAGAAAAACAGCAAATAAGACTTAAAAAATTAGTTATGAAATTCAAAGGGTAGAAATCCTATTCATTCTTTTTAGTCCAAATATCAAGTCTTGTCTAATTCCCCATGCCTTCAACACACATGCACAAGTGCAAGCAGTGACTGCCCTTTTATATCCCTTTGTTTGCTCATAGCACATAGATTATTCGGTTGTTTTATAATGACTTGTCTGTCTCCACAGCCCCATCCTAAGACCCAGAGGCCTCTGAGTACAGTCTGTGTCTTTATTTTCTACACTCATATGCTAAGCATGCTACATTGCTTCTTATCAGAAGAAAAAAGTCAGAAGTCAGTCAATGTTTGCTGACGACACATTTGAACTAGATGGTGCTAAGCTCAGGAATAAGACAAATCTGAGTGTGGTTCTCACTCTGCTACCTAAGAAATCAGTTAATCATCTGGACTAACCTAGTTTTTAAAGCTGCAGCTTTCTTTAAATGTAGGATGTAATTTACTTAAATTACATGTATTAAATGTTACATAAATGTTAGGGATTTAACATTTTTTACACATAAAATGATAATATCATTTTTAAATTTAACAACACTGCACATACCCACTTGCCTTCATATAAAAGGTAAGCTCTTCCTATGACCCTGCATCATTTGAGCTTCAATCTAACTTCAAAATTTATCAACTTTTTAACTCCAGTCATGTCAAACCATTTTATCTACAATTTATAGAATATACCAACTTCTTTTATGCCTTTGAGAGGTTAATGATATTATTTCCTAGGATTAGTGACCAACTACTTGGCAAGGCTCAATATTTCACATAGAATCCTCTTCTGTGCTCAGAATTACCTTTATTAAATGCTCATCAATCACATAAAATAAATGGAGGTAAGATAAATTGATGCTTTCATGTAATACCTGGTCATCAATAAATGACAGCTAACCCAGCCATGGCGGTGTACATCTGTAATTTCAGCACTCATGAAGCTGAGACAAGAGGATCATTGTGAGTTCAAGACCAGCCTGGGCTACAAAGTGAGAAAGTGAGCTCAAGGCCAGCCTGAACTGCATAGTGAGACCCTGTCTCAAAAAGACAAACAAACAAAAAGACAGCTGTTATTGTAAGTATGTGTTGATGGATTTGTAACTCAGAGATATAGGTTATGCTCTTTTTTTTTTTTTTCCCTGCATTCCAAGGCCCAGAAAAATGGTGGAACAGAGGCACAGTTTGGTTTTAAATTTGGTGTTCTTTTTGCTGTCCCAGAAACCTAACTGCAGGGCAAAGTAGTTTGAAAAAATGCCCAAAGATTTTAGGCAAGGTTCTGATGTTAGCATTTTAGAAGCTCAATCTCAGATGTTGAAGGAACTCTGGAACCGGATGTAGCAGCACATAATGGTGCTATATGTCATACCGCCATCTGAGAGGCTGAGGTAGAAAGATCACTTGACTCTGTAAGTTCAAGACCAGTTATAGCAATTCCCTGATTCCTAAATGTCTGGTGTTGGAAAGCTGGGAAAACGTTATTCTTGAACATTAAATACCTGCTTTTCATGGGAATTTGGTTTTCTAAAGATATTTGATGTTTGAATTTTAAGTATTATTTTTGAAATTACAGATAAAATTTTTTGTAGATGGCAGAATTTTTTTCATTTAGACAAATTTTTTTCATTGTAACTCCTGCCCCCTGGGGTAGTTATTACTTTATGGATATAGGGAAAATCTGTTATATGTTCCATATGAAAAACCTAGTACAGTAGTACCTCAGTTCATACATGCTTCTGTTTGCAAACAATTTGTTTCACAACAGAAGCATTTGGCAAAATCTTGTTTTTGTTGGCAAACTCTCCATGAGGTGACAAACGTGACCATGGTCACCTTTCCCACCAAACATGGCCATCTTTCCAAAGTCACAGAAAAAATTAAGTTTATGAACCAAGGAACCACTTATTTAACAGCAATAATTACAGCTATCTTTAGTCATCCATCTTTAGTTCAACTGTTTTCCTCTTTGTTTTTATATTGCTCTGCTCCTTCTAATTTCTAGATTCACATACTGAAGTCCTATTTGATTATTTGCTCTGGGCCCTCAACTCAGTTGATAATACTCCAGAGGTCACAAGTGTAGAGGCAATAGGAGATTCTCGACTAAGATATACTCCATGATGGGAATGCCCTGGAGAAATAGGTGTATATCACTGCTCCTCCAAACTGTATTCAGCATAACATGTGAGAACTGGGATCTGAGTGGGAAGGCATCTCATCACCTTATTTGAGAGGCTGAAGGCAAAGCAAGCACTGGACTATGAAGCAATGGTTAAGAACTCAGTATATAGGGCCAGGGATGTAGTTCAGGGGGAGAGTGCTTGCCTCACATACACAAGGCCTTAAGTTTTAATCCCCAGTACCACCACCACCACCAAAAAACAAAACAAAACCCAAAACCCAAAAAACCCAAAAGAAAACACAAAAACTTAGTGTAGTGCTTTGGTCTTGGTCATCTCTCTACCTTTAGCTTCACAAATATTTTTCATACTGAGCAGGATCAGGTATTTAAACATAGAAGTCTTGATTAGAGCATTTGTCATCATGTTAATAATCAGCAAATGGAGAAACCTATCGAGTAAGCGTTGGCTCTCCTTTCCCTGGGTTGAGGAAAAACTGTTAGAAGGCTCTCCTTTTATCAGCTATTTCTAATAGAAAAATGCCCACTATATCCACTGGTGTCATTTTTTGAGCTTTAGCTAACAAATCTCTTAATCTAATACTTATGAATGCTACAACAGTTGGAGTCTCAGGTATTTGGATTTAGAAAAGAAAGAAAGTCTCAGTCAGACATAGTGATACATGTCAGTAATCCTAGCTTTTTGGGACATGCAGGCAAGGAGATCGCAAGTTCAAGGCCATCTTGAGCATATTAGTGAGACCAGGTTTGAAAGTAATATAAAATGGGCTGAGAATGTAGCTCAGTAGTGGTAGAACATTTGCCTACCATATGTGAAACTCTCTGGCTTCAATCCCTAGGATAAAGGAAAGAAAGAAGGAAAGCAGAAAGAAAAGAAGGAAAAAATGAAAGAAAAGAAAAAGAAAACCAAGTTTCTTTGATACCAAGCAGCTTCTCTCAGTGGTACAGGGGCTTGGGATGGATCTAAGTCCATTGGTACCACACTCATAGGTGGCTTCTGTACATTGGTAAGGTGGCCAGCAGGCTGAGAATACTGCTAGTTATTTATTTCAGCCTGAGACTATCACATGGAAGTTTCATCACAGCCCCCACACCAAGACACTCACATCTTGCAGAAGTTTCTCTAAATTCTCCTGAAGTTCGTAGAAGTAGTGTGATGTAATTAGGCCACTCCGAGATTTATCCAGGCAGTCTCGAGCCAACTCAATCACCTGGTGATGAATAAAGCTCAGGGCTCCATCTGCCAAGGGCAATACACTGTCTGGAGCGTTGGCGGAGATAAACTCTGCTAGTCGTTCTTCCATTTGTGCAGTGGCCTGAGAATGAAAGCAAGAAAAATGACACTTCCCTTCCCTTCTCATTCCAGTTTAGCTGGAACAAAGCCTGAAAGACTGGTGATAGCCTAAGAATTGGCTCCCCTGTGAATCTGGTTGCCTGATGTACATCTGGGAACCTGAGAACTCCAATCATAAAAAGACCACCTTCAAGTCAAGTCAGAATGATGCAGGGTTATACTAAGACCCACTATTGCCCAGTTTTGTCTATCTCCCATCACTCCTAACATGCTCTTTTGTCTGTAGACTCAGAAGGTTTCCTATTCTCCTTTAGCCTGATATTTTAAGCCTGTTTTTGTTTATGCTATCTCCAATTGCCTTCTCACCCTGCAAGGTCTGCCTTGTTCCTCATCCAACTCAAGAATTGTCTGCTCTGAAGGTCTTTCACTCCTCACCATCACGGAACTTTCTTCTGGGTTTTCTTCCACTGGGCCTCCCACCTGGATACATTTAGAGTGGGAAGTTCTGCAAATCAGAGTTTTATTATCTCAGGATCCTTTTACTTGACCTGAGAACCTGCCTAAGGAGGTTCTGCTGAACATACTTGAGATGCTCAGAGTTTCTACTGCATGTATGAACCTACTGGTCTCATGCCAAGCTGGGATAGGGGCTGGGTTGGGAACACAACCCTGGCCTGGATCCTAACAAAGCACAGCAGAGACTTGACTTAGCTCAGAGACTTCTTGGAAACTTAATTATACATATCAGTGAACAACTTCATAGTTGTCTAGGACTCTGACTTTTTTCTTTTGCTACTGGGTGACTTCTGACTTCTAGTATATTTTAGGGGAAATATAGTATACACATGTGTGTGTGTGTGTGTGTGTGTGTGTGTGTGTGTGTGTGTGTAAACATGGGCAGGGGGAGAGACAGAAGGGATCCTAGCACATTTTCTCCATCAATGGTTCAGGCTTTACATGAAGGACTGGAGACATACCATCCACATGACATTTTATGCAAGAATGATAATACAAAAGCTAATATATAAGGAGGAACAAATGTGAGATATATTTCTCAATATCACATACTTGGACAGGGAATTTAGCTCAGCAGCATAAGCACCTGCCTGGCAAGCATGAGATTGTGAGTTTGATCCCTGGTGCCAAAACAAAACAAACACAAAAAATCACATACTCTGGAACTTTACAGCAAAATTACTTTCTAGCTATTCTGTCCCTTCTTAGCTCTTATTCTCTAGTGTCCACTCCAATGCTAGAAAGCCCAGACTATAGGACACAAATAAAAGAGAAACAAGAGTTGACACTGTTAGAAGAGCTTGATGCTCAAAAACTCCCTAAGAGATAGATACTCTTCTTATTCTGAATCAGATGAAGCACGTGAAGTTCACAGAAGTTAAAAAAAATCTGTTTAGCTCATAGTTAGTAAACAATAGCAGCAGATTTGAACTCAGGCACTCTGGTTCATGGTTACACTCTAAACATCAGAGGGAAAAGTGCGAGGGTCTCATACCATGTCCCTCAACCATGCAGGAGACTGAGCCTGAATCTAGAGGAGGGGGCTCTCAGAGGAGCAAGAATCATACACTGCAAATCCCAGATGGAGATGAACAGTCAGTGAGATCTGGACTTAGGTTGAAGAATGAGTCTTGGCCACTCCAGGTTTCTGTCATCATGCAAGTTGTTCTACTGTTCTCCCTCCAACAAGAGTTAGGTGCATTTTCAGAAACAGGCCTTATCTTCAAAGGCCAAGTCTGGGTGTACAACATGTAGTGTTCAAATAGAAATGGAAATGGGAAGTAAGGTTCTAGTCCTGCAAATGTGGTTTCTGAGAAGGGTGCATGCTATTTCTTAGCTATTTCATGACAGCAAACTACTTCATCTCTCAGCATTTTCCCCCTTGAAACTGAATATACATGTTAGTAAGCAACTCTGAGTCTTTCTATCTCCTGTTCCATTGCTCCTTTGACCTTCCTGCCAGCCTAGAATCTCCTGGTTGTATACTCTCTGGGGCCTAGTAAAGAGGTGCTGCTTAAGAATCTGTGCCAAGCCAGGCATTGTGCTATAGTGCTGCAATTCCAGCACTTGGTATACTGAGACAGGAGGATTGCCTTGAGTTTTGAGGCAGCCTGGACTACCTAGGAAGTTCAAGGTCACCCTGAGCTGAATAGCAAGACCTTGTCTCAAAGGAAAAGTAAAAATAAAGAGAGACGGAGGGAGGGAGGGAGGGAGGGAGAGAGACAGACAGAGACACAGAGACAGAGACAATGAATCTGTACCAAATGAAGGTGCCACCAGAGAGCAAGTCCTGCCATGGAGGACTCTAACATATGAGAAGTCAGGCCTGTGTTTCTTTCCTTCCCCTTTAACATTTGGTGGGTACCATTCTAACACACAGCTTCTAATCACTTCTCCCTCCAGGGAATGAGAAACAGGCTCTGCGGGTACAGGCAAAATCATGGTCACCGCTGCCTCCTGCTTCTCATGAAGACCTCATACCTGGGCCCTGTTCCTCCTTGGGTGCTTTTCTGCTTTTTTTTGTTGGTACCCCAGGAGGCAGCATTTCACCCCTCACCCCAGAGTCTTCCCATTTGGCTGGCTAAAGGCAGCCATCCTTGGGACATATCTCCATCTCCTAAATGTATATATGTAGGTATGTATGAGAGTAGGAAAGCTTTATTGAGAGATAGCGCCTGAGAAACAGGAGCAGCCTGAAAGTGGGTTGTTATTCTCTTCTTCTTTTAAATGCATCCTTACCTTTGGGAATCTTTCTTTGTACACATGATTCATCATTATTATTTCACTGTCAAAGGAAACTGGAGACCGTCCAGGACTGAACAAGAAAGAAATAATTTTGTGATTTTAGTGCTATGAAACCATCAAGGAGAAAGATGGCCATTCCCTGGCCCTCCCGCTATCTTTAGTACCCCACATAATGCCACTTGAATGAGAGCTGAGTTCCAGGGCCTTCCTTATTCTTAGAGCTCCTAGCGTACTTTATGATGCAAATCAAAATGATTCTTTCTGGAGTGAGACTATCCTCCTACAAGAAGTTGGACTTTCACACAGACTTCTGCTAGGGTCTGGAAAGGCAAAAAAAAAAAAAAAAAAAGAGAAGACTATTCATGAGCCCATTGGTAGCTTGCTTGGATGCCCTTCCCAGAACAGGACTCTGTGCCCTCAGCTTTGGCCAGCGAAAGGATTTATCCAGTATGTTCTCAGAATCAAATCAAAAAATCCCCAAAGCATCCAAAGGCAGACTCTATACAACTATTGCACCTACTGCTTTTTTCAAACAAGCTACAGCCACTGGGATTAATGTGGGCTCTACTTAGGGATATGATTGAGGCCAATCCAGTTTATAATGAGTTATATAAGTAAGGGTCATCTATTGAAGAGATCCTGAATATTCTCAGCTTTGTTATTTTACCTTAGCTATGTTATTAAACCTTCCTTATACATGATTACATCTTCCTAATGGATTTTGAATTTTAAGTCATGCAATTAAACAGATATTTGGGTCTAAGTTCAGTGCATTAAAAGAAGATCTCAGATAGGTTACTGTTCCTTTCTGCTTTTGTCCCTTGAGTAGAGGCCATTCTGTCTAAAGCACTGATATACAAGACCAAGTGTTTAAAAATATAATGTAGCAGGGACTTTCCTGAGTATTATGGTGGTCCTCTTCATCTCAACTAGCCTAAAAGGTATGTTTTACTCTGTGTAAGTCATCAGAACACCATGTTTCAGGTGTTCCTTTGTGGGTCAATGAAAGGCACTGGGAATCCACATTTACTCATTTGTTTTCTTGATTTGTTGCATTTAAATACCCTCATCTTCAATCTCTGAATCTGAATTGAGAGGCCCAGCTCACTCTCTGTTACTCATGGTGCCAATATTAAACCTGAGGGAATCTTCCTCTACAACCTATCCTGTACATGCTAGTCAAAACTCCCAGGGTCACTGGAAACTAAGCTCAGTCATGCTTATTTTAATTTCCTTCTTCATCCTTAACCTGCAATGTTGGCACAGACTTACCAGCTAATGCTAAAGAGAATGGACAAGTAATTAGAAGAATTTGGCTGGGATGTGGCTCATGGTAGAGCGCTTGCCTAGTAGGTGTGAGACACTGGGTTTAATCCCTAATACCATTAAAAAGTTTAGTCGATGAAGATGGGCCCAGGTGACTCAAGGAACTGAGTTAGATTCAGTGGGGCATATATTTCTGCTTTTGAATTGGGCTTTTCCCCTAAGTCAGTCAATTGTATCTATAGCAGCAACTTGTCATTTGGCCTAGCTCATGTGCCCTGGGCCAATAGTTTTCAGTTAGGCAACTGTCAGAACTGATGATACTATTATTTCCCTGTTAACAAAGGGAGTCTGAAGGGAAAAACAGACTGTCTGTGACTGGATAGCTTCAAGAGTGACAGTCTAACTTGAACCTGATGCCAAAAGGGCTTGAGTATTACTGGACTTGACTTAATCAAACTGGCTAACATGCACTGCCAAGGGTTGGCAAACTATAGCCTGCAGAACAATCCTGGTTTGGTTCTTGTTTTTGTAAAACAAAGGTTCATTGCTACCTGGAGCTGCCTGCACGCTACAATAAGAGCAAAGTTAGGTAGTTGTAACAAAGAGGTACCACCTGCAAAGCATAACATATTCTCTCATGTCTACGTTATGCAAACAAGCTAGGGCTCACAAGTTTGGACAGTAGATGAGAGCAGCCCTCACCTAAGGCTGCGGGAGCGGGGCCGCATGGCTGGAGATTGGCGTCCCTCCTCATCTGGCACACTCTCAGTGCTGAAATGCTTTGTCAGAAAGTGCAGCTCATCAGCTGTAGGCTGAAAAGGCAATTGATGAAGCTTTTCTTGTGAAGAACAGGATGACTAGAGGAGAAAATATTAAAAATGGCATTAAATACACATACAAGGGCAGTTTATGAATGCTAAAGGACTGAAACTGCTCAGGCTCTACCTCGTCAATGTGAACTCAAAGCAGGGCTTCCTTCCTTGTTCCCTTTAACCTTGATTGGGCATGATTTTGTTCACTACAAGCCCTTCAGAGCCTCCAGCCTTGAGGAAGCAGAGACACTAGAGTCCTTCAGGAGTCAGACTGGGAGCCGGGCTTAGATCTTTGTGAAGTGTGGGAACTTTCAACACCTAGAAGAACTCAAGGTAATAAAAAAAGCAGATTCTTCTGCATGGGTCTCCACTGAAGTTTTTGGCTAGTAAAAATGATAAGTAATTTATAAATCATTCTTCCTACTTTGAGAAAAGTTCCAGGAATGCCATCTACAAATGACATCCCTTGAAGTTTTCCTTTTTGCCTGAGGGTACAGCTCAACAATGTTTGCTTTTGGCTGTTATCCAGAGGAAGACTGGATTTCCTGAGGCAGAAAGGCTGCGCTGAGATTTTAGGAGCTCTATGTGGCAAGAAAATCCACCAGGGAAGAAAACTACTTTTAAATTTAAACTTGAGGATTAGATTTAATCTGTAACAATTATGAATTCTAAACACAGCTCAGTGGCTGAGCATTCCTGACAAAAGCCTACCAATCTCAACAGACATTTGAATGACCCAGTGCTACTGTAGTAATCCTGCAGATGCAGCTGCTGTAGTGAAAACCCAATAGATTAGCTCCTGGACCTGTGAGATACTCCTTTACCTGACACAACTGGATAAGACAGCAGGCAAATCTAACAACACTGGTCCTATCTGGGGTTTAAATATCATAACCATTTAGAGCCAAAGCTGCAGCATCACACAGGGAGCTCTACTGTCACAGGGTCAGCATCAAGTGAGAAATGAATACCTTTGGGCTAATGGTGCATGCCTCTCTTATAGAATATTACATGCAGTTGTAAACAGTTAGTGAAAGACTTCTATAAGGCTCTGCCTTGGCCACATTTTTATAAATGACTTATATCAAGCCTGCAAGTCGATTATGAGCCAATGGCTGAATATATATTATGATGGGCAAAATGGGTATTTTAAATTATCCCAATAAACGGGAGTAATGAGTTGAGTCTGTTAAATTTACTAAACAGAAAAAAAATATATGCATATGTATATACAGTACATATTTAAACACACACTCATACACATACTATTATCTTAGGTTTACAGGAATAACTGAGTAAAAGTTTATGTAAACAGGGGTGTTTATTAGGGAAAATTTTTAAGCTTAGCTGCCAGAGAGCATCAGTAAAACTCTGGCTTAATTTAAGAGTAATATTAAGGTCAAGGGAGGAAATTATATTCTTTTTTTCCCCCTGCTTGGGATTCATGACTGTAGACAAATCAAGTGAGAAGACCTGAAGATTGATGGAAGACACAGAGTCATCAAATCTACAGCCTGAAAAATATGAAACATATTGGGCTTTTTCCCCCTTTTTTCCAAATCCATTTTGGAGATAAAAAGAAAAAAAAAATATTTGGCTTTTTATAGAGAATCTGCCAAACCGGTCACCCTAGCTTTAAAAATAAACAATTGCCTCTAGAGAAGAATTCATTTTTAGGGTCAACTGTACATAATAACAATTAGCACATCTGTTATTTTTTAGGCTAAAATATGTAAATAAGAAATATAAAGAAGTTTTAGAGACAGGTCCAGTCTCTCATTGATACACATAACACTTGGATAGCAAACAACACCACGCTTCTCTTCCTTTTTGGAAAAAAAAAAGGTGAAAACCGGAGGGGGACCAGGTCTACTAGGTCTTTGAGACACAGGAAGCGCAGTCTGTTCTTAGTTGTAGTTGTTGAAATAATATTGGAGGGAGTAGTGGAAACATGCTTAGGAGCTCCCATGCCTGGTTTCACAGGCAGAGCAAAATGTCATACTCAAGCCCTCCTCAGGATTCCACCATGAAGAACTGACCCCTAGAGACGGTACTAGTTAATCCTTCCAAAGGATTATGATCTTGCTATGACCATGAAGGTCACCAGCTCTCCACTCACTCAGCCTTATTGCTAAGAAACCTCTTTGAATTTGGTTGTGGGGAACAAATTGAAAATCATTTTTCACCACTGGACTAACCTGAAGGGACCAGTGCCATAAATTGGCTACTTACCGAAACAGCAGAGCTAGGAGTATTGGTTCCATAGCCTGAAGAAGGCAAAGAGGCCAAAGACCAACGCCGTCCATCCGTCCTAAGCAAGAACAAGAATATCACAAAGTTTCTACAGAGCCCCCTCCTGAGCTCAGAATCTGTGTCCATTGGCATTTTTGTGCATTTAATTCACTGGTGGTCTCCTCACCTCAGAGTACTGTTTGTTGTAGCACATGCACTTGTAACTAGCCTATATGTGTGTTTTCCATGGATTTAGAAAAGCACATTTGTTACCTAATACCATTCTTTTTTTTTTCCTTTTTAAAGGACAGGGTCTTACTATGTAGTTTAGGCTGGTTTAGAATTCAGCGTATAGCCTAGGAGGGCCTCAAAATCACAGTGATCATCCTACTTCAGCCTCCTGAGTACTGGGATTACAGGGCTACACCATCACACTCAGATTTTCTTTTCCTTTAATATAAGAATTCATTGTGCTACCTATACTGGCCTCAAATTTTAGGTAATTCCCTTGCCTCAGCAACTACAGTATGTGGGATTACAACCGTATACTACCATGCCCGGTTTTATTTCCTCCCCTATCCTCAACAACACCAGGGATTGAACCCAGGTTTTAAAAGTATTGGGCTATCCTCCTAGCTGTTTTTATTTTGAAGCTGCTTTTATTTCGAAGCAGGGTCTTGCTAAGTTGCCTAGGCAGACTTTTTTGTAAGGAGAGGGTACCGGAAATGGAACTCAGGGTCTTGCACTTGCCAGGCAGGTGCTGTGCTGCTGAGCTATATACCCAGCCCCTGCCCAGGTAGACCTGAACTAGTCATCTTCTCATCTCAGTCTCCCAAGTAGCTGGTATTACATGCATATGCCATGTGCCTGGCTTTTATTTCCTTTTTTTTGAAGTTCCATGTGAAGGGCTCTTTGGTCTTTTCTAGGCCACTGCATTGTCAATCAAGAAGAAACAGACAACCATCTAGGTATGAAGTGAACATTAATTGATGGCAAATAGTCATAAGCCGTGCCTATCACCCATAAAACCAATCTGTGAGGATATCTGCCTAAGAGTGACAGCAACCTTACCCAAAAGGAGGGAAATGACATACCTTTGGCTGTATATTAGGGGGAGGCTTCCTGCTGCTCTCAGAAGAATGCCACCCAAAGCTCTCATCACAAAGAAACACAGTTATATGTTTTACTGTAGAAGTGGAAGATTAAGCAGGTATCCGATCTGAAGCTTTTATAACATGGACATGTGATTCCTTAGACTGTGGATATGGTACAAAGTATTCTTTCTCATGGAGCTTAGGGTCTAGTCTGCTCAAGTTGAAGTTGGATAAAATTTTTTTTTTTTTTTTTTTTTTTTTGCGCTGCTACTCACAGAATTTTAGAACATCGGCAATACGGACTCTTTATAGGCTAAATTCTCATTACATTTTCAGAGAAAACTATGACCCAGAGATTTGTATGATTTACTTAAGGTGTCAGTTATGATGAGGGCATGGGGGAAGAAGAAAGAAAAGAGTAATATATCTTGGTTGGGCTTCTCTTTCTGCAATACTCTTGCCCATCCTCACCAATACTGAGCAGTCTTTCTATTATGTTTCACATGGGAAGAGCCCAGCATTCCATGCCACATGCACATGACTCAAACTTCATGCTACTTAGGCAGCTAGCACATGTCAATTAGAAGTCTGCTGGAACCTTGTCTCTGAGGCAAACAAATGTCTAAAATATGATGTTCTCTCTGACCTCTTTGCTGGGTCCTGAACACTTTACATTACAAATGTCATTCAATTCCAGGAAAATAAGAACTCAGCAAAGATGAGATAGGTATAATGTAAAGATGAATTTCCTAGGCCCCTGCTGTGCTTTTTCAACATGATTTTCAAGACCTTAGCTAAAAATACAAATCAACTGTATGGCAGTCACTTCTCTGTGTTGTATATTGAAGTACATGAGCCACCAGAATCAGAATGAAATGCTACCATAAGATGTCTGGTCCCTTCATCTGGCCTCCTTGCTGGGAGGCTGAGGAAAGTTGTGAAAAAGAGGGTGACTTCTGATTCTCCAGAATCAGAAGGTTGGACTGTAACTCCTGCTTCCAATCATATTAGCTCTGAGTCTTGGTTCCAGCAGGTAGCAGGGGATCCTGTAACGCCTCTTTGCTAAATATGAAAAACCCAGTGTTCATACCTATAGTCAGAGGAGAATCACTAGTTCTCTCACCAAGCACAAAATCACAAGTTACACTGCCTAGCCATGCATATCAGTGGCCCAACCCTCTCCCCACCATATCGACCGTTACCTGTCTGCTCTGTGGCCATGGCTGTAGTGAAAAGATATAAATTATAGTGAGAAACAAAGCGAATCAGAGACCCCAACATTTGGTCTAACATGACAGAGGCAAACCTTCTGTTTAAAAATGTATGACAATTTGAAGTGAAATTGTAGGACTAATGGACCTATTTTTAGTATTTCATCAAATCTGATTTGTGTGTGATATTCCAAACCAATGTGATCCTGAAGGGCTCCAGCCTGACTCAGTAACTAGGAGCCAACAATTCCTGGTACTCTCTTTGTCAGGGTTGAGACCCTCCTCCCCATTTCACCAAGAATGAGCAGTTTTTCCTACTCCATTCTGTAAGAGGATACCCCAGAGTTTTTTGTTCCATGTACATGCATCAAGTATCCTGTTTCCTACCACAGACTTGTTTGGGTCTCAGTGATAATAATAGACTGTGAATTCTCCTCCAGTATTTACTCATGAAGTCTAATTGAAGTAAATACAAGGACATCAACAGCACCTGCTGTTTTCTCTGGCTACAATAGCCTCCAAGCCTATGTCCTCCCAACCCAATGCAGTAGCTGCTTCTCATCACTCAGACTGGCCAGCCTCATGTGACCATCCTGTGGGACTCACTATCCTCACTCCTTTCCTATTAATTTATGCTGCATCATGTTTTTTCCTTTCATCATGCTTACCATAGTTTATAACACTATATTTATTTGCTTTTTTATTTATTATATGCCTTCCTCACCACTCATTTGATTACAATCACTGTTATGTACCAGGAAACAGTTTTTCAACAAATTAAGGTATCTATTAAATTTGATTCTAGTTATGGTGAGACAGAAAATATGCAACTAAGAAAACATCAGGCACTGAAAAATACTAGTTTGGAAATAAAAACAGTGATTTGAGAAGGAATAACAAATGGGTCCACTTTAGATTGTGTGGTTAAGGAAAGTATAAGGAGGTAACATTTGAGATTAGAGGTAAATGAGCAGAATAAGTGAACTAAGTGAAAAATCTTAGACTATTCCTCTCAAGAATGTAAGGATTATATCTATTTTGTTATCACTCTATAGCAAAATGCCTTGCCTAGAGCTTAGCTGAAAGTTGGTGCTCAGCAAATATTTACTGAATGAATGTGAAATGACTGAATGCCCACCTATGGGCATTTTCACAGGTCATGCTGTTCCAGTTCATACTTAATCTGAAGCTACAGTTCATACATAGTTTAGGTAGGAAGTCTTGCATAAATCCTTCCAAATGATTGTAACGGTAGAGCATTCTTTTACTGTGAATGCCCCTACCTGAGGCTTGGTTACCTAATTGGAAGTTATACAGGGTAGGAGAGATAAGTGCATGGACAAATCGGAATGAGATTTCCTTTGAATAAGACAACAGGGTCAGAAAGGGTACCCAGGTCAGTGTCAAACTTCTTCCTGTCCAGCTCCTTTCAACTACACAGAATCTTAGGGAGGAAAAGGATAAATTGAGAGGCTGGGATTTAGCTCAGTGGTATAAGTGCCTGCCTTACAAATGCACAGTCTTGAGTTCGATCCCCAGTACCAAAAAAAAAAAAAAAAAAAAAAAAGTTAAGTTGAAATTGTTTTTTTTAGATTATCACCTGGACAGTGAGCAAACGCTATTTCCAGGTATCGTTTGTTTTTCTCTTGAGACTTTTTAAAACAGTAGTCTAAATATTAAAACTTAAAATGGAAGCTATTGCTTCAAGTCGTATTATGTTCTCCATCCACTAATAGTTCCAAATCTGGAGTCATAATTTTTCTTAAAGTCTTAGCACTAAAGACCAAGTCTCACCAATAAAAATATTAAAACAAAACAATCACCGTATCCCCCCCCCCCAAATCTCTCTCAAAAGCCAGGTGTGGTGGCACACCTGTTTAGCACCCAGGAGACTGAAGCAGGAGGATTGTTTTGAGTTCAAGGCCGGCCTGAACCACATCGTGAGACTGTCTCAAAAACAAAAACAACCCCCTAGATGAAAACAAAAAACAACCAAAAACCTCTAAGCAAACAAATTTTTAAAACTTGAATTCTGCCAACAAAGAATCTTTGAAACTATTCTAAAAAGAAACGAGGCTTGTGTGGAGCTCTGGCAAGTGATTTGAACTCCATCAGCTTAAGACTTCTCGAGAGACCAAGTGATGTCCTGCCCCTGAGTACAGCAGTCAGGGTTGCTACCCTGGGCCGAGACAGGCTCTTATCACTTCCAGAGAGACTAGAAATGGGAAAAAGATTATAAGAATGGCCTTGTAATATTTCTATGTACACATACAGGTTTTTAGCTGAAAGCCAAGGAGAGAGATATGCCAAATTCTTTCAGCCCCTTGGAACCAGCTGGCTTAGGAGAACAATTTTGGATCTTTTAGAGAGGAGACATTATTGTTGTCCTAGGATAGCTTTCAAAAAAGGTATAGTGGCTTGAAACATACTCTTAGGCTTAAAATTGTAAAAATCAGCTTCTTGTAGCTACTTGCCTGTGCTACATTCCAAAGGCAAACATGTAGGTAACCTAGAAAGCTAAATTTGAACAAAATGATTATAATCTGGCAGAGGAAAGAGGGAAGGAACTTCGATGGCTTGTAATTCATAGTAACCCACTTGCAAGAATACAGATTTAAAGGAGAAATATGACATTTAACTAACATTCATGAAAGTGCTACATGTGATATGTTAATCACAGAAGAGGTCTTTTAGCAACTTACCTGCGGCCAGGAATAAAGGAAAAGTGAGTAGGTGCATTTGGAGAGAAATTCCGGGGGCTGTCCAAAGGACTGTTACCTGTGGTTAAAAAAAAGAAAAAGAAACTCACTAAAGTTTGCTTCTGAGGAGAGCTAATGTTACCTTCAGACAAGAAATCTGCCCCTAATATTGGTAATTAGCATATTTAGTTATTTTCTCAGGCCACCATTAATTTATAATTCTCTCTTTGTAAAAATCTGGCCACCCAAAGGCTTCTTCCCCCTTGTTTCCAGGTTGCCTGTAACAACCTATGTCTCTCAGACATCCATTCTAGATCTAGTAGCAACTTACCTGTTTCCTGACCTCCTAGGGACACTTCAGTCTCCAATATGTCTTGTCAAATTAATTCAACATTCCAAAGAATTAAAGAGCTCATTCAGTGCAAATGGTAGAGTAAAATACTCAAATGTTTCTCCCAAGCAAATAGGACTTTCAGTATAAAAGTCTCTTATCTCTGCATACTGCATCCAAAGGGCTAAATCAGAAGTATATATGCTTTTAAAGGGAAACAGGTTTTTCAGTTCAGGACTCATGACAGTAGTGTACCTTAAAATAGTATCCACACTTAAGATCCCACATCTACAAAGTATGTTCAACCTCTTTATAGTATAGGAACTACTGCCATCTTCTTAGTTTTTATGTGTTCTCTGCAACTTGCTAACTTAAAACTCAAAGCACTGAACAAAATTTTGTCCTTATTTTTGTACTAGTCACAATTCTGAACCTAAGCCTGCCATACTTCTCTGTTTTATCTTCTGTCTGTGCTGATACTTAGGAGGCTCTATTTGGTAGAAACTGAGCATGTCTCCAACTTGAAAGGCCATGCAGAAGTAAGCTTCATGATGTGCTGACATTCTCCAAATCTCTGCCTACCTCCCCATTTCTAATGCTCCCCTTTGAACCAACATCAGCTATAAGGAACTTAAACTACCTAGAGATCTGATAGTTCAGTGTGTACTGGCCTTCTCTTGGATAGTTTCCTCATAGGGTATAGATATTCCAAAATGCCATGCAGTCACCTTATTGTTACCCATTATCTCTACTCAGCAGGTCCTGGACTTTCTGTATTGATCTAGGAAACATTAACATTTTATTAGTGCCACACTATTCTGTGCAGCTCCCTATTTCGATAATACAAAGGCATTATCTTTGGCTGAATTAATTAGGAAGCGTCTGCTAGGGTTATTTCCAAAAGATGAAAAATATTAACAAAAGATGAGAAATATAAAATAAAAAGCGGCCTTTATTCTGAGAACACAGAGAGAGATGACCGGCACCCCCACCGCTGGCGTCTGGCGATCTCTCAAGCGGACGCGTGGCGTGGGGGCATGTAAATAGCCTTGGTTTGAGGTGGAACCTAAGGCGGGCATTAGGGATACACAGGTAGCCCATTGGTCCTAGGTTTGGCGCCATATGTAAATTTCCAGGGGCAGGAAGATGGTGTCACAGGTAACTTCCTAGGGGCAGGGGAGATGGGGATTCCTGCTTCCGGCTGTGGCTTTCCTGGCTTCAGTGTCCTATCTGGGCCAAAACCCTTTCAGCGCCTATCTCAGCTTTTTACCGCCAGGGGCACAAAATGCACAACTTTGGTGTGTCTGAGGTAGCAGATTAAGGCTGGGGCAAATAGATTAAACAACTGTAAAAAGTTTGTCAGTCATGAAGACACAAGGCACATAATGATTGCACTTTCTGAGCACTGCATATGGAACCAACCAGAAAGTGATATCTTCAAGTCTTTATTTACATCTGTCCCAAAGACAAGTGGGCCTTTGATAGGCCAGCTTAAACCTGACACCAAGCCAAATGAATTTCTAATAGGACAATCATCTTAATGCCTTATTTGCATAACAGAGAAAGAATCTAGGAATTCCAGATACAAAACAGCCTAGCCATTATCCTGCTGATCACTGTGAGTCTTTTCACAGTCCCACTCTCACTCTGTAGAGCATAACGCTTTTCTAACTTTAATATATGTAAATCCTTGCTACTTTTTCCATGGCTTTTGTCCAATTTTTTGTTCAGGACACCAAGAACCTGGAAAGAATTTCTTTGGGACCCAAATGCCAGTAACACAGGGCCTTTCTTTTTTTTTTCTTTCTTTTTCTTAACATGGAGTAAGTTTTATTTTAAAAAAACACAACTCAAAGAATTATTCTGAGAATTTTTTGTTTTACATGAATTAATTTAGGTTGTAACACAGTTCATAGTTTTATATATATATATCACCGACTATGATTACTTTTTTAAACCTTTTTATTTTAAAGAGAAAAAAACAGAAAACCAAAAAACAAGAAACATACAAAACAACTATAAGAACAAAAAACTCAATAACAATATAGGTTTTCAAAACAAGATGACAGGAATTCAGCAATGGCTATAATATTGCATATTACTATCTTCAAAAGAGATTACCAGATACAGACATGCAAAACTGATCTAACTATATAAGTATTAACTGTTCTTTTCCAAGAACTAATAGAATTAATAGTATAATCTTCTTAGCTATTATATGTATATATAAACAAATTTGTATCTTTTTCCTTTTCTCTTCCTTTATTTCTTTCCCTTAACTTTGTTATTTTTCCTCTTTGCACAGTTTCTTAATCTTTCACAATATGTATTATAGATTTTGGATCTTATTTACTCTAATTTTCTCACACTAGGGAGACAGTAATGTATATTTACACATACAAGTCTGTTATTTCACTAATGAGTATGGTTTCAACTCTCATCTATTTACCTATAAAAGCCTTGACACAATACTTCTGTATAGCTGAGTAGTACTCCACTGTACAAAAATATCCTATCTTTTTTTTTTTTTTATCCATTTCTCAGTTGATGGGCATTTGGGTTGTTTCCAAGATCTGTTTTTTATTTCTCTGTTATTTTTAAGAGCTGTTTCCTTTCATGATCCATAGTTGCAATCATGTCTTCAAGGTCTGAGAGTCTAGTTTCAGTTTCATTCATGTGATTTTGCAGCTTTCCATGGAATTTTTGATTTTCTGAATATCTTCTTGAATCTGTTGCATGTATAATTGTTTCCTACATTGTATATTCATTGTATATTGTGTACATCACTTTCCTATGCTCGTCTATTTTTTTTTAAAATCTGTGTCTTCTTTGATATCTTCAATTCTTTCATTATGTTTATCATTTCTGTTTATACCTGAGCCAATATTTCTGATCTCATTTCCTTTACAGCTTTCTGCAGTTGTTTCTTTACTTCCCATACTATCATTTCCAAGATTTCAGGTATGTGATTTCCAAATTCATTCATGTGCTTGCTTCCTGGATATGGATGGGTTGGAAGTTTGAAATTCTGTTTTGTTCTTTTGTTTTGGCATTTTCTTGTGTTCCTTTGAATTGGTTGGACGCCAAGTGCTAGTTGCTTCCCATTCTGTTGGGCTGTCCAGCAGTGGGCCTTAATGAAGGTTGCTGTTATTTCTGGGTTGCTGGGTACAGACATTTGGTCCCCACAGGCTCTACTGATGGTTCTTGGATGACTGCAGGTTGCTAGGTACAGGTTCCCAGTTCCTGTGGGCCCCAGAGATGGTTCCCAGGTGTGGATGGGTCATGGGTGCAGACTCCCAGTAGTAGCAGGTCTCACCAGGAGTTCTCAAATGACTAAGAGTTGCTGGGCATAGGCTCCCAGGCCCTGGGGGCCTCAGAGACAGTTACTGAGTGTGGGCAAATCACTAGGTGCAGCTTCCCAGCCTTTATAAGCTTCACCAAGGGTTCCTAGGTATGGGCAGGTCACTGGGTACAGCTTCACAGTTCTAAGACTCCTCAAGGGTTCCAGGATGATTGTGGATTACTGGGCACCGATTCTTGGTCCCCATGGGCCTCAGAGATGGTATTCAGTTGTGGGAAGGATATAATAACTTCCCAGTCCCCAAGAGCCTCACAAAGATTCCCAGATGACTTCTGATTGCTGGGCGTGCAGACTCCAGATTCCCATGGGCCTCAGAGATGCTGTTTGGGTGTGGGTAGCATGCTGGATGCAGCTTTCCAGTCCCCAAGTGCCTCATCAAGGGTTCTCAAATGACTGTTGGACGCTGGGCGCCAGACTCCTGGTCTCCATGGGCTTCAGAGATGCTGCCTGGGTGTGCCTCCTGGGTGCAGTGTTTTCAAGATGGGTGATTTAAGCTATGTATTCCTGGTTATCCACGTGGGAGGATATATTAGAATAGCAGACCCCAATCATCCTGGCACCAGCGACCAGTTTTTTCATGGAGGACAATTTTTCTATTAAGGACAGAAGGGATTGTTTTGGGATTAGATTCTCATAAGGAAAACATAACCTAGATTCTTCACACGTGCATTTTACAGTAGGGTGTGAGCACCTATAAAAATCTGATGCCACTGCTGATCTGATAGGAGGCAGAGCTCAGGTGGTTAACACTAGTGATGGAAAGCAGCTATAAACCCAAACAGAAATTTGCTCACTTCCTGTTGTGTAGCCTGGTTCCTAACATGCCCCAGACTAGTACCAAACTCTGACCCTGGGGTTGGAGACTGCTGTGTTAGAATCCAAACCATTTATGTCTTCAAAGTTAAGATACGTTGCCCACTAATATTGGTGCTTCCTTAAGGAAGGAGATCTATGGGAGGATGAGTGATTTACAGGTGAAAGGCATGGGCTTTTTAATTGTCTCTTTAAGACTTTAGGAATTATTATTATTTTAATAATAATATTTTAATAAAAATTATAATTATTATTTTAGTAATAAAAAGGAAAAAGGCCCAATTTTTTGTGTTGTTAAATTGTAGTTTTCTTTAAAAATCACAATTTAAAAATTACAATAATTATTATTTTCCTTTTTTTATTTTTTTTTGAGAGAGTTTTGCTGTGTGGTACAGGCTGGCTTTGAGTTTACTGTGTAACCCAGGCTAGTCTCGAACTCACAGTGATCCTCCTGCCTTAGCCTCCTGAGTGCTGAGATTACAGGTATCTACTACTATGCCCAGTCTTCTTGCCAACTTTCTACCTGTATTTATTCTATCCTACCTTAGACATAGTGGCACATGCCTATAATTCT